ATGATTCTTTTTTCAAAATTTTTTGAACTTTTGAAATTTCCAAGATTTTGAAAATTTAAGAAAATGTTAGTTTTTAAAATTTTCAAGATTTTTAACGTTTTCATAATTTTTTACGTTTTCATATTTCCTCTTAGTTTTTAGAATCCAGAATTTTCATGATTTTAAAATTTTTTAAAATGCTCAATTTTTGAAATTATTTATAATTGTCGTAATTTGCAAAATCCACAGTTTACAAGATTTTCATAATTTTCAAAAGATTTAGAATTCATAGAATTTTCGAGATTTTCAAGATATGTAAAATGTTCTATTGTTAAAATTATCGTTTAATATTTTTAATTTTCAAAATTAACAGCTTTCCGAAATATTCAAGATCAGATTGTCCTAATCTTCAAAATTCACAACTCTTCAAATTCAGAGATCCGAAATGTGTGGAATGCAAATATTGAATCTCCACCTGAGGATCACTCAAATTTGTGCTATTTTATTCTAGACCTCAATCGGCACTCGGCCTTCAAGGGTTGACTATAAACGTGGCCCGAACCTCTAAAGCCCTTTCTTTATAATGGTCTGCTTTAAGCTTCGGTAGAGGATGCCATGCTGTATAGTGTCTAAATGCTGATCAACTACATAGCCGTCACGAACATATTGCAGCAGATGGCCCGGCTATACAGGGTGTTAATTAAGTTATGCACCATCGATTTAGCAGACAATTCTTTGACATTTGTAGACAAAAAGTTCATATAAACATAGGTCTGCAAAGTCTTCAAGATACAAGGTGCCAAAATTTAAGAAAATGGTTTTTCGTAAATTTCTTAAACATCCGTTACCTAATTTTACTATAATTTGGCTGATATTTATAACATTAAGCAGCTGGTTCAGTCCTAAGTTGATTTAATTTATTATAAGGGCCGATTTCACCGATATTAATTTTATGGACCGATGGGAAAATACCTTATCGAAACGCAATTTGACAGATGCTGTCAAAGGTCTCTGAATATTAGTCATTTCTATTGAAATATTGAATAAAAGTTTTTTTTGCAGGTTTTAGGTTTGTTGGTAGCTTTAAAGCGCACATTTGGGAATTTCTTAATCGCTGTGAATATAGTGCGGTTGTTTGTTCAGTTCCTGAACAACGAAAAATATTCAACTTTATAGATGTATGGATATCAAAAAACCTGAATGGTTTTGTGGGAATATCAATCTAAGGTGCCATAATGGTTCTGATGAACAGCAAGTAAATGAATGAATGTTTGGAAACGAGCAACATCTTTTGGTAGAGCCTGTCATCAAGTAGGTTCTTAATGGCTATCTGCAAGAGGTTTATAAGAAAAAAACACCCATTATCGCATATCAATTGAAGAAAATAATATAAACATGAATAAAAAATCAACAATAGTAATTAAAACATGAATTTAATTCAAAAAGCTGGTGATGTTTCAATGACAAGTTGTCATCTCATACTTCGACAGTATTTTGTTTTCAACATTTCATAGCTATTGGTTGCTAAAATTTGTTGTTTGGAACTTGAAGCTCATTCGCTGTATCTGACGGTCTGTTACCCTATAGGTTGTTGTTGTTGGTGATATTGGCCCTAAATAAGATTTTGATAGTTCGACAAACTGTCAGCAATACATGAAAATAGATAGATTGGAAATGTCAAACATATGTAGCAATTATAGCCGGTCCCTGCAAAAATATTGCCGTATGTTGTTGAAGCATGATACTGCAGTGAAAATATTGTCTGTTTAGAAACGCTTGTAAGCTACGCAGGGTGTAAACGTTATGTTAGTCATTATTTAAATGGGTGATAGAGAGGATAAAAAGAAACAAAAAGTTTATTGAACTTATTAAAATACGGAACACAATTTTGATACATATATTGTTTTTCTTTTTAAAAGCCACACTGCATTTTTTTTGTATTTAAAGAAGGTGTTCAAAATGTCTTTCCACTTACGACGGACCCACTCTAGGTCCTCGAAGTTGTCCATTTATTATTTCAGCAGCATTAAAATTTTTTTCGCGAAGTTGTGCTTCAGTTGTTATTGGACCAGCCCCATAAACCACCCCTTTAATTTCTCCCCAATACCGGAAATCCACCGGAATGAGGTCAGGAGATCTTGCTGGCCATTTTCTAGGATCAGGAGCATTTTTACTGATCCAGCGATTTTGATGATATTCAAATGCTGAATGACGCCTCCAAAAATGTGTGCTGGTGCCCCGTCATAAAGAAACCACAAATTCTGTCTCCGTTGTAATGGCATGTTGTCTAGGTCTGTTCAAAAAGTTCTGGTAGGTTATTGGCTGAAAGGCTAAGGTATCCTTCTCCTGACAATTTTGGGGGTAACTCGATCTGATCGTCAAGAATACCCGCCCAAGTATTTATTTTAAAACGTTGTCGGAAACGACCTTCACGAATGGTATGAGGATTTTCTTGGACCCACGTGTAAGTATTATGGAAATTTAATATTCCGTCTCGCGTAAAAGTACATTCGTCCGTCACTAGAATGTTTTGAGCTGCAAGATTTGAATGCTGACGAGCTTCACCGTAAACTAACAACACGTCGGCGGACCCTTGATTCGAGAACATTGTAAATAAACACGACGACGTACGCGAACAATAAGTAACCACTGTTACCGTTTGCGATCGATTGCCGGTTCGATAAGAGTGATGAATGACCGACGCGCTGTTGTCATGTGTGTTTTAAATATTTGATTTAATGAAACTTACTGACTACAAATTTTGGCTTAACCTAGAAAAACTTAATGCCATTTATTTGTTAAATACCCAATTTAAAAACGTTTTAGATTAGATTATAAAATTGTGGTCGATATAGAGCACTTAAAGTTGTAAACTATAAAGCCATTTAGACAAAAATCTATTGACCTTTGGACCATAGGTCATATGAACTTTTTGACTTGATTTGACCCCCCCCCCTCCTATTACCCATTCCAATAATGACTACCATCAAGCTTACACCCTGTATAACACCTTGTTACGTGTAATGTGCGATAGCATAGTATCCAATGCAGTGTAGTCCAACCTAGACCATAAAGAAAGAGAGGCCTGGTATTTTAGCATTTATAACAAACAAAAGTGAAGACTTCATATACTATTGATTCGAAGATACGATCCTGAGCGCACTGTTCCCAAGCTACTAAGAATATCATGACTTGGAATGTTTCAAGGATTGAGGCTCCAAAGAAAACTAGAAGACGTTACCTGGTCGTCGATCGGCTGCAGTCCAAGAAAGCTGTTAACATTTTTACCGAAACTCGAGGCTGTGCCTTATGCAGTTCAAACAGTGGATTTAATTGTAGATATGCCACTATTATGCGGTACTCAAAACTATTAATGATAACATGAAATTGTGGGAACGTATACTGAGTGACAGTAAAAGGTAAACACCTGCGTACGTTTATTAGAATTCAAGAATTTTGTACATATCGATTTATCTTGCCATGAACACAACAAGTGATAGAATGGTCAGGTTTTTGCGGTGACTGCGTGTATTGTTCGGTAATGAAGAAGCATTAAATTTTCGTACAATGTCAAATGTTAAATTTCGTGTAGCTTATTCAGAAGCCTTTTTGTAATGGTTCAAAATGCCTAGAGTGCGTATCCCAGCTAAGTGACTTTGAGAGGGGTCGAATTGTCGGATCTATCGATAAGTTTCTATAGTCAAAATCACGAAAGACGACTATTACGTCATACCATAAATTGTACTGAAGTAATCGATGGACGTACGTCGATGATAAAATCACTATATCTTGAATTTATATTATGATTTTGCGAAGTTAGGTTATTTCACTGATTATGTTTATTTTCATTTTATTTCAGGGTTTTAAGTGGTACCTTAATAAAAATTTAAGTGGGGAGCTTTTGTTTTGGAAAAAAAAGTCAGTTATCAGTAGAATACACCTTAAGACATTAACACCAAAGACGAAAGGTTTATTCGAAAACAACCTAACCTGCTTAACATAACCTAACTATTCATCTTTCAAACATGATCGATCATGCAACATGAAAACATCGTCTGTCTTTGTCGGATATATGCAAATTAGCAATCCAGTTTGTTTAGACAATAAAATTCTGTTTGTCGCTGTCTAACAAACTATAGTCGGAATCACGAAAGATGACGATTACGTCATCATTTTAGTTTGTAGTAAAGACAAACGACAGCGCTTTGTGAATATTTTTAATGCAGTTTCAGATATGTTATGCAGAGACAAACAGAATTTTATTGTCTAAACCATTGATTCCCAAAGTGCTCTATATCGACCCCTATTGGTCTATGACAACCTGCAAGGGGTCTACGTCAGCGAAAAAAAAATTTGGGGGTCCATGAAATGAATATGGGGGTCCACGATAGTGGATCTCAACACATACACGGATATGCTACCTTGCACTGACTTGTTCAATTCGTCACTCTATAAATACAAATGTGGGACAAATACGTTTATTCGTTTCCTGAATCTTGAAAAGGAAAGTGCTAAGAAAATATTTTAAAAAATATAAACAGGATAGTATATCACACAAATTACAGTGAGTCAATGTTATTTTGTTTGAAAGTGCTGGAGAAAAGTAAGTACCTTATTTTTTATTAAATTTTAGTTTTGTACTCGTAGTTAGCAAAGTTAGATAAATTACGCCAATCATGACTTTAGTTATTAGTAGTTAAATATTCAATCATGCAAAATTACACGAGTACTCCTCAATAGTTTCTTTTTGAAAGTTTTAGCAATCGGTAATATAATTACAGTGCAATCTCCGTAATTCGAGCTAATTGTTGCAAGAAGATGTTCGAATTATGGAATGCTTTCGGAAAAATCAAAAAATATTTTTTATATTCAGCTGCTGGATTTTCTGTCTTATTTAAGTAATTTAATTTTGCCCACAGATGACTGATTCCATGTCCGAATCTAAAAAGAAATGTAGACAGTACAGTGTCGATTATTTCAAATTTGGCATCGTTCCATCATTGCCGGACAAACAATCGTCTATGTGCCTTTTATGCAACAAAGTTTTGGGCAATGACGCTATGAAACCATCTAAACTGCAAGATCATCTGAGAAGATGCCACCCTGATAAAACAGAGAAAGATTTGAAATACTTTCAAACACTCAAAGATAAATTTCAGAAGAGACCTACACTGGACAGGATGTTCGCTTCGACGTCACAAAGAAATGATGATGGTTTGCGGGCGTCTTACAATATCTCGTTACTTATAGCAAAATCCGGAAAACCGCATACTATCGGAGAGAAGTTAATTTTGCCAGCCGTTGAAGAGGTTTTAAAAACTGTTTTACACAAATCTGCATCTGATATCATTAAAAGAATTCCCTTAAGCAACAATGCTGTTGAAAGACGTATTGATGAAATGTGTTCTGATATTGAAAGCTTCTAATGTAACTATTTGCAAACGACCCATTTCTCTATACAACTGGACGAGTCAACTTTACCTGATAATGCAGCATTATTATTGGCATACGTTCGTTTTATTATGAATCAAGAAATCTAAGAAGAACTGCTCTTCGCAAGAACTTTGATAACCGACACTAAAGGTGAATCAATATTTCATATTTTGAAGGATTACTTCATTGAAAAAGCAATTCCTTTATCAAATATAATATCAGTAGCTACAGATGGAGCACCTGCCATGGTTGGACGTTATCGTGGATGTATAAGCTATTTAAAACAAAATGTGTCAGAGGTGTTAGCAATACATTGCGTCATCCATCGACAACATTTAGTTGCTAAAAATTTGAGTGTTAGATTGCATGAATCACTTCATTTAGTCATTGATGCAGTAAACCGAATCCGAAGCAACGCGTTGAATACGCGATTATTTGCGCAGTTGTGAAGAAAATGACGAACACTTTCATCAATTACTCCTTCACACTGAAGTACGCTGGCTGTCGAAAGGCTTATGTTTGACAAGATTTCTTGCACTTTTTGAGACTATTTTAGAATTTCTGGATACTAAAGATAAAATTTTAAAAGAAAATTTAATGAAGAGGAAAACAGACATCGCCTATTTAACAGATTTGTTTACAAAATTTAATATGGTTAATTTGCAATTACAAGGCGACAGTTTAAATTTTATTAAAACAAAGTCCATCTTATCAGCGTTTCTTGCCTGAGTTAAGCTAATGAAGCAAAATATTGGACGGGCGAATTTTCTCAGTTCCCAATTTGTCACAGACAAGCTGCCAGGAAGACGACGTTTCAACTTACGTTCAACATTTAAATGCCCTCTATTCAGATTTCGAATCTAGGTTTGAGGATATTTTGAGTATGGTAGGTTAGGTTGTTTTCGAACAATATCTTGGTCTTTGGTGTTCCTGTCTTAAGGTATTCTACTCATAACTGTTTTTTCAAATCAAAAGCCCTCCACTAATATTATTACGGTATCACGCAAAACCATGAAACAAAATGAAAATAAAAATAGTCAGTGAAACAACCTAACATCGCAAACTCATAATACAAATTTGTTGTCATTATGTTCCTGACATCGTCATTTTATCATCGACGTACGTCCATTGATTACTTCAGTACAATTTATGGTATGACGTAGCAGTCTTCAGTTTGCAACGCCCTCCACAGACTTTAGCAGCTCTTATTGACAAGTTGCAGTAGCGTGGAATGAGATACCTTAACAGGATATCGACCACTTGCCCAGGCGTTTCAATGAGTATACATATAAGAAATCGTGGATCCTCAACACATTATCGAAGCAGCTTCTGCAGTCAGTCGACGAATCAAGATGAAAATTTAATCGTTCAACTAGTAAGGGACACTGAACGTATATGTCAAAAATTATTAAAATCGGATAAACATACGTATCTAGGTGTTTATTTTTTTGTATGTCTTAGAATAATGTTCCCAACGTAGATAATACAGACTTATCAAAAATATTTCTATACTTTACATGTTTTTTGCTATACTTTGGAAATGGTAGAATTTTTTGAAGATCCAAATCTTGCAAATTAATGTGTTGTAACTCTGCGTAGTTAGGAAATTTTCAAAATCTGCTTTTTGCTTATGATGTAATGTAGAATAAAAAGTACATGTGCTTACAGTCTAGATTTTCGTTAAGGGAGGTAGAAACCTTCCTTTTCTTTTTTGGTATTTTGGGACAATTGAAAATCCTTCCTTGCGGTTAATCAACACTGTGAGCTCATGTAAGACAGCGCCGTACGCAGAACTATGAGAGTTAGAACATTCGTAAAATAACATCAATTCGAAAAGTTTGGCAAACGATCAAATTTGAGCGATTATCAACAGCCGAGTGGACATTTTTGTTCGCTTCAACGTCTCTCGATCATACCACGAAGAAACCAGTTGTTAAACTCGAGACGACCCTGCTGAAATTTGATACGGATCAAGTTTCTAAACGGCGATTCACAGATCTACAAATCCTTCAAGTAATGTAACACAAACTGAAAATTGATTAGAAGAAATGAACTTGAAGACTCTGTATCTCAATAACGACGCCGAAAAATGCACAAGCTTTACGTTCGCTTTTTGCTCAGTAAAAAAGAAAACTTAGAAATCGTATACACAGAAAATAAAAATAAAAAAAGCAACTAGAAACCTTAAAAATCTAACCAGTGGTATTCTTTTTTTGGATGTTAAATGACAGACCTACAGGGTGGCACAACGAAAATGTCGCACCCCCATTTGTGACTCTTCTGGTATATTTTGGGAAAAACTCTCTTGTCAAAAATATCTCGACAACCTCAGTATAATGAGATAATAGATCATCAAACGATTAAGATAATCGGAATTCGATGTTATCATATCTCTTCGAGTTCCTTGAGTTGGTAAAACAAAAATTGAAAAATAAAAATTCTCCGAGACCTGATAGAATAATAAAACGAGTGCTTGTTGCCTGTTGCTCACATTTACTTCTTCTGCGTACGGTACTATGTATACTCGAGTACCGAAAAGGAAGTGAGTAGCAGAACTCATTGTACGCCAGTACCACCGCTGCATCTCTTTGAATATGACGGGGTATGCGCGTACTTTGCCAACGAATTCGGATTATGTAGTAAAGCTGTTGATTCTCGTCGTTACTAACCGTTACTCCTCTACAAAGTTATCATTTATTCTATTCGCTACCTTGGACCTCAATGGAACGACTATATTATGCTTTAGTTTGATAAGTTGTCTTGTAAGAAAATAAACAATCTTAAAATTTTCAAAAATTAATGAATCATAATTTATTTAACACTGTCATGCTTAATGCAAACATCGTATCTCCAAATTTTAGGTAAAATCACAGCCGACGTCAACTACGAGCCGTGAACAAAGAAATCTGGCAACGTAGGTGGTAGTGTTACTCCCGCCGCTGCTTGCTGCATCGACGCAACTCGTGCTCAAAACGCTGAGAAAACATAACCTTTTCAATTTGTGATTTGGGAATCCTAGAGGCTGTAATTAAGAGATAAGCTTGTTTTCTAAGCTTCAAAGTGTTTGTATGTGTTCAAAGTGATCGGTGACTATAATATATGAGAAATAGACTCCAGTTGTAGTGCTTCTGTGCTTTAACAATAAACTAAGAAGTGTGACTGTGGCTGTTCGCGCCTCAGGACGCTAAGGATTTCAATTATTGAAAACGTGCAAATTCAGGTTGTATTTTTCTTTTTTCATTTATCAAGTATTTGACGCAGACAATATGCCTCGTTGTTGCTGTGTTCCTTTATGCAATGCAAACTATAATTCTGCTTTGAAAACAGAAAGCTATGTTTCAACTTTTCGCTTCCCAAGTACCGAAAGTCTGAAAAACAAATGGCTTATGGCAATTCCCAGGAAAAATTGGACACCTTCAAAATATTCAGCTGCGTGCAGTCGTCATTTTAGAGAATCGAATATCATCAGGACAGAAAATATAGTTTTGGCGGATGGAACAGTCCAAAATAATATACCTTTGAAATATCCAAAATTGAAAGAAAATGCTGTTCCCTCCATTTTCCCAAACTTGCCATCATATCTTTCAAAAACTGAAGCACCCAAAAGAACTGACCCAATGCAAAGAAAACAAAAATTAATTGAGAAACATGAAAAAGCTATCAAGAATTTCGATGATCGGGCTGTCGGCGATCTAGCTCTTTTCTATCGCTACACCAACGGGCTTTGCTCCTCAGAGCTCTCTTCTATGATGCCGCCGCGCGATGTGCCTGCCAGACAGACCCGCCTGACTTCGGCGTCCCATCCTGACCGTGTCAAGCTTCGTACATCCAGAACTGGCCGATACGACCGCTCCTTTGTCCCGAGGGTGTCTAGATTGTGGAACAATCTACGGGAGGAAGCTTTTCCCAGTTCTACTAACCTTAGGCAGTTCAAAAATCGTATTAACAAAATTTCTTTGGGATCATCATAGCAGCCGCGGTGTTCCGGCATTTAGGCTTCTGCCTGCGCGGCTGTTTCGATAAAAAAAAAAAAAAGATTTGGTTTTTCCTGTTTCTGTCCGGAAGTACTTTACATTTAGAAACTTTCTAAGCGGCTTTGTGACTTTGTATTTCTTACCGTTTCCCAGATTCCAATGGTGAGTGGCGTATTCGAAGCACCCGGTATAAGCTATTTCTAATCTATTCGAATTCGTTGGTCAGTTCACGTGGCGTACCATCAGTTTTGCTGCTCTCTTCCTTTTCGGTACCGGAGCGGAGAGAAAAACCAATAGAAAATGCTTATGCCTCTGCAAGTGTCCCACCGTCGCCGATGGCGTACGTACCACCACGATCGTTCAACTGAACGTGATATTCAACGAAGGGCACTTCCTGAACCCCTGCCCCTGCTGTTGCTGGTGTTGGTGGAGGTGCATGCCGCCCCCGCTGCCCCCTAATCTGCTCACCATGCCGCTGCCCAGTTGCGAGAGCAGCCCTTGAGCGCTGCCGCCTTGCGATCCGCCCAATGCGGCGCTCGGCCGGCGCGATCGTATGCTCTGCATACTGCTGCTGAGCAGGAACGGGACCGAGGAGGAGGTGTTCGGCATCGAACCGCCCTGGAAGAGAGAAAAAACGTTAGCGAAAAGTATAGAGGATAATACGTAATACTCCAACTAGCATTTCGTAAAAATGGGCTACGCCACTACGGTGTCTAGCGTAAACAATTGTAAATAAAGTTGTATTTAGCTAGAACCAGTGCAACCCGAGCCGAGTCGCGTTGGAACATGTCTAAACTTGCATTTAGGTAGCTAACGTATTGCAGTGTTCGTTTGTTCTATTTGTAAAGGCACTGCTTTCATTCAGTCAACATGTTGAAGGAATTACGCATGTCTGAAAAGGGAATATTTTTAATAGGGGATGTAGAGCATCAAATTACCGGTCCAAAACTTCCCTCTAATGGATAAGTACTATATTTGTTTTACAGGGTGTTCCTTAATGATATGCAAATACTTAAGGGTGTGAATCTGCATGAAAAATTAATGTTAGTTTGCTTTGTCAACTATGGTCCAAAAATGTTTCCTTACAAAAACTCGGAGTGTTGAAGTTTCAGGAAAAAAATGGAAATTAATTTAATATTTTCAGATGTTTTACTGATATTTAGTACGTAGTGGAAGTTAATAAAGTTGCATATTTTTCAATGCAAAAATAATTCTTAGTTATAACAGTCGCGTACTGGTATATTTTTGAAGAAAAGAATGGTACGTCAATGGTTTTTTGTCAAATAAAAATTATTTTTGAATTCTTCGTTCAATTTATAACAAATGATCTCGCTTGAATTGTTTTCCTTCGATGTGCCATTTCTGAGTAAAAAAATAAAAATCGTTCTATTGTCTAACTTGCAAAATTATAATTAATTTAAACCCATTAGGGGTAATAACAACAACAACTGACAACATAGACATAACATTGAAACGATGTCCGGATGTGTGGGCATGTGTATCTACTTTTGTAGTTTCATATGTGCATTCATTTCGGGCCTGATGAAGCCTACCAGCAGAAATACGTATCGCTCGGGTTACCTATCCTATTTTCTGCTCGAATCCACTTTCCTCCTTTTTGCGGATTTTGCCCATTATTTTCTTACTTGTTGTTATATACCTTTCTCCGCATGATCATATTCTCTCTCTCTATATATATAACTTGAGACGTGGTCATTGTCGTCTAAACCAGCTAGGTGAAAAATTAAAGCTTCCGCCTTTTGTTGGGTACTTCGACAAAATTTAAGCAAAGAGGACTCTTTATACTTTTTTTAATTCTCTCTAGCTTTCAATGGACTTTGCCATCATCATCAGGAGCTGCAATTACAATGATAACAGTAGCAACAAAAGTGTAAAATGAATTTAAATTGAATCAACTTACAGTAGTATGTGAGGATGTTGCTAATTGTTGTTTTCGTATAGGACGAGGGAAACGTCCAGTAACATGGTGAGAGCTGGATACATGGTACAATGGTTAAAATTATGTAAAATATATATATATATATATATATTATATATATATATATATATTAAAGTATTCAATAATGTAATATATGCACATGCATACAATATTTTATGTAAGTTTAGTTTTAGTTCACTGAGGGTGTGCGTTGGGTTTACCTGTTAACACCTCAAACTGTATATACATAAATACGAGTAAATAAATAAACATAAACGTAACATTAAAACCAACAAAATGATTACAAAAATTGTTGAAAATGGCCTCCTTAGTATGCATGGTAAGGATATAACAAAAAAACCACTAAGATTCTCCAAACAATTCGATTGCAAATATTTAAGTGTCTAGCGATCTTTCAGGATGTTCTTCGACTTCGTGCAGCACTGCTTCCTCAATTTCAGGTGTTCTCAGAGGGCCTACCCCCAGATTTTCCTTTTCAGATAGAACCAGTTTCAACAAGACGACGATGAATATTAGTAAAGGTTCGACTATTTGGCAAAGCACGATCGGGATATCTCTGGTGATCAACCCGTCTGGCTTGCTTACCATTACCGTCGGCAAGGCCATATACCATTGTTGTATTGTATATTTCAACACTTGTGGTTATATCGGTACTTAGGACTAAAACGTAAGAAATCAGCATTACTTATGATAGTATTTTTTTAGATCTACTTGCGTTGCTCAAAGGTACATCCAATCCTGACAATTCCAGGGTACAAAATACTGTTCCGAGACAGAATAACTCCAGTGTAACGTTACTAGAGGGAAAAGGAGAGTCAATATATTTAAATTGGATATTTATATTGGTACCTAGAGTTAATTAACTTTCCAAATATGATCTAATGTACCCCCAAACTAGAAAGCTTTGTTTGTAATTGATTAGGTATCCTTTTAGCCCTGTTTACATAGCTTCATAGCATCATGCTACAGAAAAAACATTTGTTTCAAGAGAAAAGAAGAATTAAAACTTCTCTATATTTTTAAATATTTTTGATAGGAACCTATTGTATTTCTGTGGGTATACAATTGAGAATAAAAAAATATTTATTTTAAGAACTGTACTTTTATTCATATTCTGCAAATATACTAAGTGACATATAAATCCGAACACCCAGTTTAAATGGTTTTATTTTAATAAAATTTTGTATAAGTACTTAATGAAGCATAATAAGTAAATGATAAATGAAAATGATTGCACTGCTTTAAAGCCCTTCGACCTTTAATAATGTGTGGATGCACCCTGATGTGCTACGCATTCTCCAACGCGCCTAGGCATGCTTCTGATCAGGTGGTCAATGTCCTACTGTGGTATCTCATACCAGGCAACCACGAACTCCTCTCGAAGTGCTTCTAGAGTCTGAGGAGGACGTTGCAAATTGAGCAATCTCCTACCCATCATATCCCACACGTGCTCAATTGGGGATAAGTCGGGAGATCTTCGTGGCCATGGTAACAATCTGACATCATTATGTTGAAAGAAGTCTATCGTGACTCTTGCAACATGTGGTCGGGCATTATCTTGTTAGAAAGTTGGATCTGCCAGGCTGTCAAGATAGGGTAAAAGATGGGGTTCTAGAACTTCGTGGATATAACGCTGCGCGTTCACGTTACCTCTGATGAAGATTAAAGGTGACCTGGAAGCATAAGCTATAGCACCACAAACCATAACTCCAACAGTGTGATGAACATGTCTTTCAACAAAAAACTGTGGATTCCTCTTTTCAGCACGTCGCCTTCTAACCCTGGCACGACCATCGTGCATGCCTAAACAAAATCGAGACTCGTCACTAAAGACAATACTGTTCCATTCCTGATCCCAGAGTGACCGTTGTCTGCACCACTCAAGGCGATTACGTCGGTGTTCTCGAGTTAAAGGGAGGACCCAGAGTGGCCGGTATGAAAACAAGCCAAAACTTCTCATTCGTCGGTAAACACTTCGCATGCCAATAGGTCTTCCGTGTTCCATTTGCAATGGACCTGGTAGTGGAGAAACGGTCCCTTAAGGCCAATAATGTTAGGCGGCGATCTTCATGGTCTCTTGTTCTACGGCGGCGTCCAGTGCCCCTTGCTCTTTGCGTACGGCCTTCTCGAAGCCATGCCTGACAACACCTAACCACAGTGTCTACACTTCTTTGCACTCTAACTGCAATTGCCCGAAAAGAAAGTCCAACTTCCCGAAGTCCCACTATACGGCCCCTATCAAACTCACTAAGTTGACGAAATCGTACAGGTCTCCGTACTCTAGGCATCGTAACCGATCGTAAAGGATGTCAAGAACCAAAGTCCGCCAACGTTGATTCTTTACTGCGGCTGAAATATTCATTTTTAGAGCGTTAGTGAATTAAAAAAAAGCAGTATAAAAACCGGAATGTCCAACTGATAAGGCTGAAAATTTTTTCACTTGTTATTTACAGTAAGATAAATACATTCACCAACTTTTATTAAAATAAAACCATTTAAACTGGGTGTTCGGATTTATATGTCACTTAGTATATAACACACTGCTACATTTTTATTATTTGTGTTTGATAAGAAAAAAACTAAGATTTCAATAGTTGGGCCAACTGAAGTGGGAAGAGGCTCGTACGTGAAAAATTGCAGTAGAAGTTGTAAGGTACGTAACGTATCAAGTCGACTTTAACATTGGAAATTCAAAGACATGACCTCAGACATATCTATAATCATTGATTCGAAAAATTGCTCGAGCTTTTGTAATATAATCTATATGCAATTGCTAATCATTTAGTTTTATTTACAAACAAATCTCTTATTACTTGGTTGCGGCTCACGTATAAATAAAACGTATACAATCTGTGGTAAATACAGGAATTTCCTGATCATCACATGAATAGTGATAAGCGTTTCAGGTTCAATATAAATTGGAAAATGGACAGATAGAACAACATACAGCAACTGATCGTCTCTGCTCAAGCATCAAGTTCAGCTAAGGTGAGACAACTTTTAACAATTTTTATTCACGAAATTTTTATATCCTATTATTTATATTACTACTAAGCTTAATTAGGTTATATAGTTTCATATATGTAAAATATGGGCTATTAAAAAAATTTAAAGAATAAACATATTTTTTGTCATAGCCAATTTGCACTTTCCAGAAGTTAGGATCACATGCCATAATCACCATGACACTATTTTCCAATAAAGTAAAACGCTAAAAGCAATAATGTTAACCTCCACCAAGTCTTTACCATAAAAAATTTAGTGCAAAAGTAAGAAATATTCAGATAAGTTCCTTGATTAGGTGGTTTTTGTACAGTATGAATAGGAGGAATGACAAAACTTGAGGTGTAGTTGTCTTTTTATCGTCTACTGTGGTAAGGTCACTACTTCATGTTACTAGTGTCAATATTTGTGCCTCATGGAATTATAGACAGTTCTCTACCTTCTGTCTGCCAAAAATGTCTTAGATGAAATTTTATCATTTATGCATTCAAATCTAACAATACAGTGGCATAAAAAATTATATTCTTTATTTCCCTGGTTGTTTATAGTGATGTCCAAAGTCTATTCCGAATATTTATGTCTTTCGGTTTCGAAAACATCGTTCCAACACACTGTATCATGGTAAGGAGGCACCCCAGTTATATATAAATTCCCCGTAGGAATTTTTTGATCTGTCTTCTGAAACATCCTGAGAGATATGATTCAAACAAATTACACCAAACCGACTGAATTCAACTTATTTATTTCTGTTTCAGAAAAGCAAACCCAACCATAACCATGAAATTCTTCCTGTTCGTCGTTGTCGCCATCATGGCCTTAATCGCCGGAATGGCCCAGGCCCAGAACTGTCTTTCCAACGGGTCGCCCTGCACTTACACCGGAACGATGGGCAACTGTTGTTCAGGTTTCTGTCTCCAGCAACCCCAGCAATCCACTGGCGTCTGTCAGGAACGTTAATATAGTCCACGCATCTCGAAATGACATTTGAAATGTATTTTTGTTATGTTGTTCAATAAAACTCAGTATTTTAGCAATACGGCTTTCTTATGATATATCCTATCGCATACAGAAGTCGACGTCGAGCTATCAGAAAAATATTTAAAAAAATTGTATGTATGTGTTTTGAAATTTATAGGTCTTTGAAAAAGATATAGAAATTTCACACCCTACAGCAGTCTGTCAACTCCTGTTACTACAAATATTAACTTTTTTCGGATTTTATTTTTACAATATAATGATGAATAATGCATCTTCAAACTGGTGTCTCAACCTTATTGCCAACTTTTCTCGTTCAGGAAAAATTGCGACTTATTTTCCAACCAAGTATTCCAAAGTAAAACTTTGCTCAACTTTAACTGGCTGTACTGGAAAAAACTGTACTACGAGAGTCTGGCAAGTAACCTTAAAAGTTGGCGTATTTAATAACGATTCCAAAATGGTATAACACTTAGAAGATTACTCGTTAACTTATGCACAATTTTTATTTGAAAAAAACTGATGAAAATTTTTCAAAATTTCCTAATTAAACAGCGATTACGAAAACGCACAAGGACCCTTAAGGATAACTGTTTGCACAACAGTGGGCGTCAAAATGCTGCTGATGATGATTTACCTTTACAGCAAATGCTCAAACTGTTTTCCTTCAGCCGCAATACACGCTCGACATCTTCTTAAAAAAGATCGGGTTATTAAACGAGCGAATCCACGGTTATTAACAAACTCAGCTGCTTCCAATAGTCTTTGCCGTAGCTCAGCTACATTTTGAATCGGCTTGAAATACACTTTTTCTTTTACACTTCCCCAGTGAAAAAATCTAAAGGATTCAAATCAGGTGATCGGGCTGGCCACGGTATTGTACCAGACAGCCTTATCCATCTGCCTGGAAAGGTTTGATCGAGATACTCTCTCACTGAGAGTGCATAGTGGTGCTGGGCAGCCATCATGCTGAAACCACATGTCCCTGTAAATACTCAGTGGCACGTCCACCAATAAATTTTGTACATGATTATTAAAAAAATCGAAATAAACTTCAGGAGTCAAAGTCTCTGGGAACTCAAACGGACCGATTATCTTACCATTTAAAATTCCTGTCCAATGGTTTATCTTGAAGCGATATTGAGATTTATCTTCTCTCATCAAATGTGGGTTTGCTACGTGCCACTCGTGTAAGTTATGCAGGTTCAAGTACCCATCTTTCTTAAATGTGGTCTCATCCGACCATAACATTTTTTCAAAGAACTGTCGATCTTTCCTGTGTCTTTCTAACATTGTGAGACAAAAAGCAACTCGGGGCTCATAATCCCGGGGCAGGAAAGGTTGAACACGCTGTATGTGGTATGGATGGAGCACGTTTTTTTGCAAGATTCTATGGGTTGTACTTTTGGGCACACGATCCCCATTAGATTTCTTTGTGTGGGGATTTCTAAAAGAAAAAGTGTACCAGACTCCCGTAACCACAAGAGATATGCTAATAGACAGAATCAGGAATGCATGTGATGAAATAAGGCCTTATTTGAATAATGCTATACCATGTTCGGTCATTCGTAGATGTGAATTGTGTATTGAACAATTGGGTTTACATTTCGAGCAACTACTTTAGATTTTGTATGTTTGTCCTAACTGTCCAATAGCTTTTCAGTTGTAAATAATTAATTTAAGTTGTTAAAAATAATATTGGAAAATTAAACAAATTAATATTCTGTTTTTTTGTTTATTTGGAGTTAGGAATTATTGTTGTGTTTAAAAAAAATATTATTTTCCCATAAATAATTAAAAATGCATCGAACCTTAAAAATCGAAATATCTCAAAAACGGCTAACTATAACGAAAACTCACAGGAGAGCTTTTTATGTTGAAAAGTGCGAAGAATCAGTATTTTTGTTCAAAAACCAAAAAATTGCACTAAGAAAAAAATGTCGGTCATTTTAATACACTACAGGTACAGTAGAGAGCGCCCTCTAGCGGCTACCGTTAATTTTCACTGTTATACATCAAATATTATTCGAAATATTTATAAAAAACTATTTTAGAAGGTAAATTCAAACACCCTGTATTTCGGAAGCCACGCATTTTTCGACCCACGTTTATATAGACTTTATGCATTAATTTTAAAAGTTCTATCGAATCTTAAAGTTATGCAACAATAAACTGAAGCACCCTGTATAAAAAAACCTTGATCAGGCTTTATAGTTTCATATGTAGATAGACAGTATCGCTTTGAGGTGTATCATTTTCAAATGCCTATCCCAACCAGCAATTATCGCTCCTATTAGAGTTGCAAGAACGATTATACAGTCTTCCTTACACAGCATTGTATGCTATAAGAACATTGGCAAAGCGCTCTACAAGCGGAATGGGCACACCTAATAGGACACTTCAGTCATTTAAGAGGTTGTATAAGGGCTGCAGGTAACAGTTATACAACAAAAGTGTAAGCCTCTTGCAGACGGTATAGAACAAGTGCAAGATTCAGTTTTTGTCAACTATGAAACTATTCTGTTACGTGATTCTACTTTATTGCAACCAAAATATTTCTTATAGGTAAAGTGAAGAATATATAATTAATACATTACAGTCATCTTGTTTACTTACATATCGATATTTCTTAACATTTCTCGTATGCACAGTCGTTTTTTATCACAGTCAATTAACATTTTAGAGGTTTACGGGAACTTGGAAACACATGTCATAAGCAGATAATCATGTCACCATCCTCCGTTAAAGTAAAACGCTAAAAGCAACACTATTCGCCTCTACCGAGTGTTTACCATGAAAAAATTGAGTGCAAAAGTAACAAATATACAGATAAGTTCCTTGATTAAGTGGTTTCTGTGTAGTATAAATAGGAGGAATGGCAAGACTTAAGGTATAGTTGTCTTTGAATCGCCTACTGTGGTAAGGACATTATTTCATATTACTAGAGGAAATATTTTCCCCGTCCAGTTATCTACCTTTAATATTCAAACTAGTTTTTCCCCAAAAGGAGTTTTTTGACAAAAATATCTTAAAATGAGCGATTTATGCAAAATTGAATCACTTATTCAAAAGCAATAAATGTAACAATAAAATTAGTGGCATACAAAATAATTTTATTTATTTTTCTGTTTGGATCAGAAGTCAATGTATGGTGTAGTCTAAAACGCGAACATTTGTGTATGTATCATTTATACTGTCAATACATGTCCAAAATCGATTCCCAATGTTTATTTTTTTTCATACTGTCAATACATGTCCCAATATTTTTTTTCTGTTTGGAAATTATCACTTCAACACCCTGTGACAAGAAGCTAAATATAAAATGTTCGTGTGAGTTTTATGGTCTATTTTACTCTCTATAAATATAGGCACGGTTTTCTGAATCATCCTGAGGCATATGATTCCAAAAAATTGCAGCAAGACGACTAAATTTAATTGATACATTTTTCTTTCAGAAAACCAAACCCAATCATAGCAATGAAGTTCTTCCTGTTCGTAGTTGTCGCCATCATGGCCTTAATCGCCGGAATGGCCCAGGCCCAGGACTGCCTGCCCAACGGTGCGACCTGCACGTACACCGGAACCATGGGCAACTGTTGTTCAAGTTTCTGTCTCCAGCAACCCGAGCAATCCACCGGAGTCTGTCAGGATCGTTAATATAGTCCACGCAGCTCGAAATGACTTTTGAAATGTATTTTTGTTATGTTGTTTAATAAAACTCAGTATTTTATCAATACGGCTTTCTTTTGATATATCCTATCGCATATATGTACGTTACAAGAGGGGTGATTACCCAAAGCTCTTAAGAAGATTGACAGCTTCCAGATTATGATTTTTTACGATCAGACTATCCAGTCTTTGAAAAGATCCTTCTAATAAGCTATTTTACAACAGAATTATATTCTTGAATGAAAATGCCTCTTATTGGGAGATACAAAAAGGTTTTATGGGTAACTTTATTTTATAAAATGTCAAAGTTGGAAAAATCACTTTTGTGCTGCATAATATCAAACAAAAACTCGTTCATAAATACTCTACGGTTTCAGCGAATTTCTAATTGTTATTAAATTATTTGAAAATAATGGTATTTCTTGGATGAGCTGTTCAGCGACTCTGTATCAAACAAATGGCCTTATATTGGGCCCATTCTCTTACTAGAGATCTAGCTTAATATCGTATTGGAATAGATACCAGATTTTCCTGTACTAACCATGTAACAAGCGTAACCAAGGGTACATCGGTTTTTGCCTTATAAACGCCTAGAATAAGATCGTTGTTTTGTAACAGTCGTAATTAGGATGCCCATCACGAACAAGCTGATGTAAACTTTTACGAGAAAAGGAATTCCTCTGGCCGAAATAACATTTATCTCAAAGAAATCAGCGTGACGTTGGTCACTAACATTAATCTTAATTGCAGCTCACCCCTACTGAGCGGAGCTGCAAAGCGATGGTACAAAAACGCCAATGGGCCACTTTAAGGTCTATTTAACATCATTAACATACAAAAAGAAGGTAGGTCGTAAACTGACTCCACTCTCGGAATGTCCGGGTGGAGGGTGGACTCGTCGGAACAATATCGAAGATAACATTTATTTCACGAACATCTGCGGGACTAACAGCGACATTGGTGGAGGCAAACATTTCAGAGTCTGCACCGATTACGAGGGATGTCTTTTAAGCATATGGGAATAAATCAACATGGTAAGTAGTTTTAAATGACCTTATTGTTTTTCAAAGCATTCTCCACGAAGATTAATAGACATCTTGTTGCGATAATTGTGTCTGAAAGTTGTAATAAATTGTGGCGCGAAAATGTTCTCGGTTGAGTTCCATTTTTCTAATGACTTGGTAACACTTAAAAATTCACTGTAGTAAGAACACTGCACGTATCGTTGTGAAACTTTGAATTTAAGTTTACTAAAGAGTAGGTTAAGATTCAGTACTGACGTTCGATCCGCGTGGCCTACTATGTTTCTATATGCAAAACTTAAGAGACATCCCTCGTTCAGTGTATAGTACTAAGGAAAATAGATGTGAAACTGTAAAAAATCGCTGCTTGTTGCAAAAAAAGGTTCAAAACCAGACGTGTTATTACACATCAGCTTATTAGCTTAAATAACAGATTAAAATATACTAAGTGACATATAAATCCGAACACCCAGTTTAAATGGTTTTATTTTAATAAAATTTTGTATAAGTACTTAATGAAGCATAATAAGTAAATGATAAAAATTTCAAAATGATTGCACTGCTTTAAAGCCCTTTGACCTTTAATAATGTGTGGATGCACCCTGATGTGCTACGCATTCTCCAACGCGCCTAGGCATGCTTCTGATCAGGTGGTCAATGTCCTCCTGTGGTATCTCATTCCAGGCAACCACCAACTCCTCTCGAAGTGCTTCTAGAGTCTGAGGAGGACGTTGCAAATTGAGCAATCTCCTACCCATCATATCCCACACGTGCTCAATTGGGGATGAGTCGGGAGATCTTGGTGGCCATGGTAACAATGTGACATCATTATGTTGAAAGAAGTCTATTGTGACTCTTGCAACATGTGGTCGTGCATTATCTTGTTGGAAAGTTGGATCTGCCAGGGTGTCAAGATAGGGTAAAAGATAGGGTTCTAGAACTTCGTGGATATAACGCTGCGCGTTCATGTTACCTCTGATGAAGATTAAAGGTGACCTGGAACCATAAGCTATAGCACCCCAAACCATAACTCCAACAGTGTGATGAACATGTCTTTCAACAAAAAACTGTGGATCCCTCCTTTCACCACGTCGCCTTCTAACCCTGGCACGACCATCGTGCATGCCTAAACAAAATCGAGACTCGTCATTAAAGACAATACTGTTCCATTCCTGATCCCAGAGTGACCGTTGTCTGCACCACGCAAGGCGATTACGTCGGTGTTCTGTATGAAAACAAGCCAAAACTGCTCATTCGTTGGTAAACACTTCGCATACCAAGAAGTCTTCCGTGTTCTGCAAACCATTCATTTGCAATGGACCTGGTAGTGGAGAAACGGTCCCTTAAGGCCAATAATCTTAGGCGGCGATCTTCACGGTCTGTTGTTCTACGGCGGCGTCCAGTGCCCCTTACTCTTTGCGTACGGCCTTCTCGAAGCCATGCCTGACAACACCTAACCACAGTGTCTACACTTCTTTGCACCCTAACTGCAATTGCCCGAAAAGAAAGTCCAGCTTCCCGAAGTCCCACTATACGGCCCCTATCAAACTCACTAAGTTGACGAAATCGTACAGGTCTCCGTACTCTAGGCATCGTAACCGATCGTAAAGGATGTCAAGAACCAAAATCCGCCAACGTTAATTCTTTACTATGAAATATTCATTTTTAGAGCGTTAGTGAATTAAAAAAAAGCAGTATAAAAACCGGAATGTCCAACTGATAAGGCTGACAATTTTTTCACTTGTTACTTACAGTAAGATAAATACATTCACCAAGTTTTACTAAAATAAAACCATTTAAACTGGGTGTTCGGATTTATATGTCACTTAGTATATATGTTCTTGAAAGTATATGAAAACGTCTCTCATATCATCATAAGTAAAACGCTAAAAAAATATTGCTGGCTTATATCTATGCAAATGTTTATCACAAAGAAAGCATTGTTAATGATGCTAATATATAGATAAACACTTTGGTTGAGCGCTTTTACAAAGTATAAAAAGACAGAACGACTGAGGTTGAGGTATAGTGGTGTTTGAGTCATCTGCTTTGGTAAGATCGCTATACTTTAAATTATTCTACTGCTAGTTACATCAAACTGTCAGGAAGGAAAGCAATACTTTGTGAGTTCCGAGTCGACTATTCCTGAAATGTTCTAGAATAAGCTTTCTAAGGATCCTAGGGCCGTATCGTCAGTCGTTCCTACAATTGTAGGAGATCTTTATGGCCTCCTTGATTTTAATAGTTTTTTACTGTTACAAATATCTATTTGCATCAAATTGTTCATACTTTTGACTTGTATCATCTGTTACAACAGCCTGAAAATTCTTACACTTCAATAAGGAAACACAGTTTCACAATAGGAGAGCGCTGATGCTGACACGGGACAGTAGAAATTTAGAAATACCACAGCCTTTGAAGGAGAGAAAATACTATGCAAATTAAGAAACCAACATTTTAAATGAATCTGCAAACTTTGTATTTCGCATTTTTTGAAGTTTCGAATTACTTTGGGGAGTAGGAATAACAGTATTTTGGGGGGTTCAGAAAGATTGAAATCAGGTTATGTCCATTTTACTTCCCCCGACACTTGGCGAGTATTGTATTTGTGAAATATTTTGAAAACGATATACGAGTTACGGAAAACTACTCGTATGCCAACTCATTTTCATCTGTTTATCCGAAAATCCTTGGTCGTTCTGCAGCTCGGAAATCACTGCTCGGACTATGACGAAAGAGTTTCTACCATGCCAGGACGAAAGAAGAGCTGTGTAGGTTTCAGAAGATCGTCAATCAGCTGCGAAATGAACGTCCCCAAGCTTGGTTCTTCGGTATTTCGTTGAATCTCTGATCATTTTCAAACGCAATGAAAACGATTTTTGGGGGAGTCCAATTCGAAAGAAAAATCGGAGCATTGATGAAATTTGCGAGGCTTTGACGGCCATCATCCAGTAATATGTTTGTTCATCAACTTTCAGGTCATTTGGGTCAAAAAATACTTGTAGAATGTTCGTTACATTCGACAAATATGTAAAAATGTATGTACTTGTTTCTGTTCCAGCAAATCAAAACATAACCATGAAACTCTTCCTGTTTTTCGTCGTCGCCATCATGGTTTTAATCGCAGGCATGGCCCAGGCCCAGAACTGCCTGTCCAACGGCGCTACCTGCACTTCTACTGGATCCCTGGGCAACTGCTGCTCAGGTTTCTGTCTCCAGCAACCCAACCAGTCTACTGGAGTCTGCCAGGATCGTTAATATAGTCGACTTTTAGAATGGATTCTTATTTTGTTTTGTTTATTAAAACGTAGCAAGTAGCACCATTTTTTTTATAGAATACAGGTAACTACCCCCTTTCCCCCTCCCCTAAGATTCCTTCAGTTTCCTGATAATGCTTTATTACGTAGCCGGCTAGGATGTCCAGAATTTGACAAACACTTATAATAGGCTGACTTACAACGCGATTCAAGTCTTGTGAGTATACGAAAAGGCGTTTTGTTGGGAGCTATAAGTAAGTTTACTCTCTTCTTCCCAAGTTACGTTATCATCGTTTCGTAAAGGGTAAAAAGTTAGTCACGAACATGTATGACCAAAAATTAAATGACGTTCCTCCTCCCACTGAAAGGAACTGCTGCAGGTGCACATCATCCTGGCGATGCAAAATTCACGCAGCCCATAGTTGTGTGGAAGCGATAACCGACTACGACGTACGACCATCGATGACGACGCTTGTTCATCGGGGAATGACGTCGCACGTATCGACGCCCGACTGTAGATGTTTCCAAGTTTTAAGGGTAACGAAACGGGGACATCTATGATGAGCGAGATATACCAAACATAATAAACGTCTTTTTATTTGGGCGAAGCTTAGCTTAAGCTACGGCTTCACTTGACCCATACAAAAATAAATACAAACATGAATAAAATGTATAAATGACAATAATACTCATAATATAACAAAAGTGTTATGTATGGGTTGTCCAATAGGGACGCAAGAAAGTAAACGTCAATTTGACATAGACGCCATCTTTGTTTTCTGTCACCGACATGTCATTTTGTTAGTTGAATGTTTACCATTGATCGCTATGGAGTCGTATTCGATTGAAGACCGCATTAAAGTTATTCAAGAGCACTACAAAAATGGTGCAAAAATAAAAAACACGTTTCGCGAGCTTCGTGAACATTTCGGTCGCAACAGCCGCCCAAACGAAACAACCATCGGTCGTCTGGTGCGTAAATTCGAGGCAACAGGTTCTGTGGCAAATCTGCCAGGCTCTGGCCGGCCAAGGAGCGTTCGCACACCGGAAAATATTGCTGTTGTGAAGGAGAGTGTGAGAGACGATCCGAAACGATCAACAACGCGTCGATCCCAAGAATTGGGCATTTCGAGAACCAGTTTGCTCCGCATTCTCCACAAGGATTTGAATGTACACGCCTACAAGATCCAAATGACGCAAGAGCTGCGTCGGGCCGACCATTTTTCGCGCCGAACGTTCTCAGATTGGCTCCTTGAACACCGCCAAATTGATGCCAATTTTTCATCAAAAATCATGTTCAGCGACGAAGCGCATTTCACTTTGAATGGGACGGTAAACAAGCAAAACTGCCGCATCTGGGCGAACGAAAATCCCCGTGAGTATCAAGATCAGCCGATGCATCCTCAAAAAGTGACTGTGTGGTGTGCATTGTGGTCAAAAGGCATCATCGGACCTTACTTTTTCGAAAATGCGGCCGGGGACGCCGTTACCGTCAATTCTGAGCGATATCACGTGATGATAGAGGACTATTTTTTGCCGCAACTTGAAGGAATGGATATGGACGATGTTTATTTCCAACAAGACGGTGCAACATGCCACACAACCAACGTCAATATCCATCGATTGCAGTCCTTCTTCGGTGATCGCGTGATTTCGCGCAGAGGAAATGTGCCATCGCCACCAAGATCGTGCGATTTGTCTCCCTTGGACTTCTTTTTATGAGGATATTTGAAAAGCAAAGTCTACATCAACAAACCAGCTACCCTCCAAGAACTCAAAAACAACATCATTGCCGAGATAAATGCCATAGAACCGACCACGTTGCAAAATGTCATTTAAAATTTCGACCATCGCGTGGACGTCTGTAAATCCAGTCGTGGTGAACATTTGAGCGATATTATTTTTCATACATAAACGGTATAAATGAACCTTCAAAATAAAGAACCCAACTTGATTTAAATGTCAATCTTTCTTGTTTTAATATGCGTTTACTTTCCTGCGTCCGTTTTGGACAACCCCATACTATTGACATACTCAAATATCTCGGAAACTTTAAAAACAAAAGTCATAGGAAATCAGATGACGCTTCCAGTGATGACCTTGAATTTTACCTCGACGGTCACCTTGAAGGTCATTTCAAGGGCAAGTTAATTCTTTCAAGTAAGAACCCTCATTTTTTATTGCAGAAATAGAAAGCCATGAAAATTTCATTTCCAACAGTATAAATATCGTAGAGGTGAAGGTTAATTCAAGGTCAAATTAATTTTTCCACATGAAAACCCTCAATTTTAATCCCAGCCCTGACTGAGCGTGAACGAATAACTGTTCTCATGGTAGGCTAGGATAGGGTAATATGGTTAGCTCGTTTGATCTTGTAATAGCCTCTAGGTGCAATTTTACTTCCCTTAATTAAGCCCTTGAACATGAGAGCGCTAGTATCAAAATTGAGGTTTTCCATGTGAAAAAATCAATTTGACCTTGAACCAACCTTCAAAGTCATAACCAAGGTCAGAATGAAGTTCACCGCCAGATGTGCCATTGTGTGGCCTGCAGTTTTTGTATCAATGATTCATCTTTAATATCCTTCTTTTTCAAGGTATCAGCTGCTTCACAACATTCCATGAAAGAGCAACATTTGACCTTGAAATAATCTCTAGATGTGATTTTAGCCGCTCTGATATCTGAAGCTTTAAAAACAAATGTTTTGGCTTTCTATCTGTGCAATAAGGAACGGAGTTTCCCATTTGAAAAAATCAACTTGCCCTTGAAATGACGTCCAAAGTGAATGTAAACGTCAAATACAGATGCGCCATTTGGGACGCCCTGTATATAATTGTTTTAGATTGGTGCAGTGCTAATCATTTTCGTGTTAATGTGGATAAGTGATTCGCATTAACTTACACAAAAAGAAAAGAAACAATGGTGTAAGCCTACAAAATTAACGACAACGAGTTAAATAGATGCGATCAAATGAAAGATATCGGTTTTCCTTGAAAGTCTTTGAAATTTCGGATCATATAAATGATCATCAGGAGGTCAGGCTTCATCATTCGGAACAGTAGACAATTTTCCAATTTTCACGTTCTGAAGCTTCTTTATCCTTCGAAAGTTCGAACTAAATTGGAAAATTGCTCTTCAATATGGTATTCTATCTGTTCGGTTCATCGGCCACCAAGATCGTGCGATTTGACTCCCTTGGACTTCTTTTTATGGGGATATTTAAAAAGCAAAGTCTACGTCAACAAACCAGCCACCCTCCAAGAACTCAAAAACAACATCATTTCCGAGATAAATGCCATAGAACCGACCACGTTGCAAAATGTCATTGAAAATTTCGACCATCGCGTGGACGTCTGTAAATCCAGTCGTGGTGAACATTTGAGCGATATTATTTTTCATACATAAATGGTATAAATGAACCTTCAAAATAAAGTACCCAACTTGATTTGAATATCAATCTTTCTTGTTTTAATATGCGTTTATTTTCCTGCGTCCGTTTTGGACAACCCCATTTATTTAGTGTAATTACTATTATAACTGAATAAATACTATTTTCATAAGCAGAAGTAAAAGATAAGTATTTCTAATATGATGTGTCTTTTGTTCGGGTTTTTACTTTTACTGTTTTTAGAAGAAAAACTACTACATTTCCTCAGTGAACCTTTATTAGTTCCAAGCAATGACAACTCAACTTAGCAACCATTGTTAATCTTTCGAAACCTTCCCGAGATTAGAATACTCGAAGTTACATCGAACACTCTACGACTAAGCATCGTAATTTCTTATTCTGTAATTATTCTCTACATCTTTTAAGGTTATCAAATGTTGACGATTTAATTTCATGGGGTAATGAATTATACAGTGCTTTTCTTTAATGTCCCCAACCCCTTTGCTTTTTTGAACGGATCAATTCAAAAAATTTAAACCTGAGGTAATGAAATTGAATCGTGGATACCATATTTTAGAGTAAAATTGGCAGATGAAATTGGCGCCTAGCGGTCATCTTGGGAAAAAAATTATATGAAAACGGGGGTCTTGTGGCACATCATTTTGAAGCTCCTGACGAGTACTCTATAACCCTAGAATATAATGTCAACACCTTTACCTACTACAAAATGGTGGTACATTTGATAATTACTTGAACACAAACCCAATAACATGCATATATCTACAAATAATTGCAATACCCTGCCGTATCCACAGCAACAGCGATAAAAACTTGTTTTGTTATTTTGTGTTGAGCGTGACAAGAATATCAGTATGAAAACAAACATAATTGTACAGTTAAAATATTCCTATTTATTTTGCGGTTTTAGTGCTAGATACTGTTTGAACTATTTTTAAAATGGTCAATTCTCGTCCATTGGAAGAAAAATCGAAGCGATTCTTATTTATGGTGCGACGCGTAACTTTCACGAGAGCGAAGGGATTTTAAATGATCGTTTCCTGAATCACCCTATCTGTAGAAAATTTTTAAGGAAACTTGTATCTAAATTTACAGCTAATGGTAGTGCAAACAACAAAAAGCCTCCAGGTCATCCGACAAATATGCAACCATCCCGGAAGAAAAGCAAGTTCAAATAACTGGACAACAAATTTTAGTTTTTTAATTGTTTCTTGTGGGAAAAGTGCACTTCTTTGTTAATTTTGGGGCGCTGAATCCAAAAATGACAATGAAATAAAAAAATTAGTTGCGGTTTAGAAAAAAAACTTTTTATTTTTAAGGATATATTAAAAAAAGTAACAAGATTCATATACTTATAAGAATCACTATATGCGCTGTCTTTTTGCTGTTCTTTTATGGATCGTTTCTGGAGCATCTCTACCAAGAGTCCAACAGTAGTCTGCAAGCATGGAAGGATTCCACTTTCCCTGGTACCTTTTTTCCATTGTTGAAATATCCTGACGAAAACGTTCGCCGTGCTCATCACTTACGGCTCCGCAACTGTCAGGAAAACAGTCCAGGTGTAAGTGTAGGAAATGTATCTTAAGAGACATATTACAGCCCATCTTTTGATACGATGACAGCATATTTTTGATAAGGGTTTTATAGTTGTCAGCTTTTCTATTTTCCAAGAAATCAGTGACCACCAGACGGAAATCATTCCAAGCAGTTTTTTCAATACCTGTTAAAGTGTTTTCAAACTGTGTATCTTTCAAAATATTTCGAATCTGTGGCCCAACAAAAATACCTTCTTTAACCTTTGCCTCACTTAGTCTTGGAAATTTCTGACGCAGGTATTGAAAAGCTGACCCATCTCTATCTAATGCCTTGACAAAGTTTTTCATTAGGCCCAACTTGATATGCAGTGGTGGTAATAAATTTTTTTTCGAATCTACTAATGGCATATGCTGTACATTTTTTTGACCTGGCTCTTGACGAACAGGCCAGTTTTGTCTGGTGTAATGAAGTGCCTTTGCCCAACTGTCCCATTCACACAAAAAAACAGCAAAACTTTGTGTAGCCGAGCTGCAGCCCAAGTAAAAGTGCAACAACTTTCAAATCGCCATAAATATGCCATTGGTGCTCATCGTATTTTATGCATGTCAATAGGTACTTCATATTGTCATATGATTCTTTCATGTGAACTGCATACAGGAAGAGATGGTAAAATATTTCCAATATGCAATAACACTGCCTTTAAACTCAATGTTGAACTGTCTATAAACAATCTCCATTCTTCTGGGTTATAGTTTATATTTAAAGCCGCCAGTAAGCCGTTAATGTTACTGCAGAAAACCAAGTTATTCTCCATACTGAAAAATGGTTCTAACTCTTTGTGGCGTTTACGAAAAACACATACCGAAACATCGTCTTCTAACAAGTTCCACTGCTGCAGTCTTGATCCAAGTAACTCTGCCTTACATTTTGGAAGTTCTAAATCTCTTACAAGATCATTTAATTCTGACTATGTTATTTTGTGCCGTTGGTGGCATGACGTGCTCGGTATAAAATCAGGATCTCTTGACGTTGATGGCATATCTTCTTCCTGACGAATCACTCGATCGCCATGATCTGATTCGTTTTCTGATTCGCAATTGTAGGATTCTAGGATTTTCGTCACTGTGAGGCACAGGTCTCATCGCAGATGGTATGTTTGGGTAGTTAATAACCGATTTTTTTTTCATGGACATACCTGTGGCTTGTCCAACACAAGGTACCATGCAAAAGTAACAATCATTAATATGATTTGTAGGCTCTCTCCAAACCATTGGGACAGCAAAGCGCATAGACCGTTTTTTGCCATTTAACCAGCTCCTCAGACTTGAAGCACATGTATTACAGCAGATGTGGGGTGCCCAGTGTTTGTCTTGATCACCTAGTTTACAACTGTACAACCGAAATAAAGCGGATATGCCTTTGTTATTAGTGGAGTAATAGACCGTCTCTGAGACGCAAAAGTCACATCACCACACACGTAACAAAACTGATCTGGATTGTTTACACACTTTTGAGACATCTTGCATGAACGCTGTCAGCCAACTGAGGAAAAAATGGCTAATATAAAACAATACTTGAAGTTGAGTCATTAATTTTCAGATAATGATTGTAGAAGGAAGCTAAACCAAAATATGTGTGTAAAAATAAAAAAAAAATAAAAAAAAAATTTTACCTTGTTTTATAAAGTATCCTCCCGACAAGTATTTCAGTGCGGACCTGTATTTGATCGTGAGGTCTTGGAGCACCGGCATGCCGTCCATATATGAGGTCTTAAGTCACCTGATTCACGAACCCGTTGTACTACATTAACAAAGGCACGAGGGGTTGGTTGCACTCGATTAGGAAACCGATCCGCATAAACATGTGCCATTTTTTATTTCGTTTGAACCACGCAACAGTTACACCACTATTCACTACCGACTGACACTGACTGTATACAACTGAATGAAATAATTGTAAAAACATCGTTCCAAATTCTTTCGCTTTTTTGTTTCCGATGCGATGAACCGATAAGGCGGATTATATCCGTTGTTGCCAAACACGAGCACATGATATTATTATTGAGACAGGGCGGTACTCAAACTTCCAAAGGGCTATAACTTTGTTACTTTAATTTTACCAGAAAAATGGTAAAGGAAAAAAACATTTCTTTTGATCAGATCTACTCACTGTTAAAATAAATGACTCAACTTCGAAGTCACCCTGTATAATGTACACGTATATATAACGTAACACAATCATGCCGATTACATCATCTTTCCTTGCCGAATATAAAAATGTAGCACGTGCATTCTTGTGAATTACAGTATATTAACACTGTCACAGCAGGAACACATATAATTACCGTATCTCTAAAACTCGAACTAATATTGAAAAAATAAGTTTCATTCCGGTTTTAGCACATTAAAAATAGTAATATTTTGTTGATTTTATTTAGGATATTTTTTGGCTGTTGATCAGTGATAATTGGTAAGATCATAGCAAATCCCCAACAGTCTACTTCCTCCATCGCGAATGTATGTAAGGTTTGCCCTTCTACTGTATGGAGACTTTTGAAAAAGAATAGGTATCACCCATACAAAATTCAAATGGTACATCAGCTAACTGAAGATGACCCTGATCGAAGAACAGAATTCTGCGAAACTATGACCGAAACCAGTGCACGGCATCCTACCTGTACCCAAAATACTTGTTTTAGTGTGTACATTTTTTCTCAACGGTCATGTGCATAGACAAAATTGTTGGAGTGACAGCAATCCTCACGTCTTCCGGGAAACTCATGCTTTTATCTTTGGTTTTGCTTACCTTTGTTAAAATATAATCTCTTAGTTTTTGTGAAGAAATCACTTTCTGAGAGCTGAGTAGTACAGATATTTTTAGTAATTGGCCGTTCATTTACTAGTGTTAGACATAAAAGGACTATTGGAGTAATGGTTTAGGGGGCTATTGCCCATGGTAGCCGATCACCTGTTCTCTTTGTTCAAGGCAATATGACTGCTTAGCAAACCACCTTACTGCCGTATCTAGAGGGCCATCCACAGCAAGACAACGCACGTCCCCATATTGCTAATCGTACAACGGACTTTCTTCAAGAATCATGCGTTAATGTTTGTCGTCGCTACCTCCTTCACCGGATTTAAATCCCATCGGACACGTGTGGAGGAGACTATCCACTTTGCATCATCCGCCACAGACTCTCCCACAGCTAATCCACGGAGTTCGAGTTGCTTGGAATGAGGTGCCACAACCAGACATCGATCATCTCACTTTGTCGATGCCTGGACGTATACAGGAGTGTATTCAGCCGCGTGGTGGCCCAATACATTATTAATTTTTTCCTTATTACTTGTCAATAAAATTTCGTTTTTTTCATTCTTGATGTAAGACTACCTCATTGCCAAAAGATTAAGTTGAAAAAATTATTTTCTTCTAATGTCAGTGAGTATATGATTCATATGTGGAATTTAGACAGTCGTCGAGAAAAACTGTTTCATGTTCTTGAATAAATTCACTATCTAGATACCTGTGATACATTTGCTTAATTGTACTAGAAGTTGTTTCAAAGGCGTGAGAAGCATCGAGTCAATCTCTTTGACGCGATTTTTGCCTATTTATATTTATTCTTTGCAGCACAGTTTAACCAAAATAAGAATGGTCATTTCATTTTTATTTTTTACTATTTCGACTTTTCCTAAAGTCCTTATTTTAGCAAGAATACATAAGGTACGTAAATTATCAAGTCAACTTTAACATTGAAATCTCAAGGACATCACCTCAGATAAGTGCATTTATGAATTTCTGTTTTTACTACTCTCCAAAGTAATCCGAAACCTCAGAAAGGTAAAATACAAAGTTTGCAGAATAATTTGAAGTCCAGTTCACCGAGAACCTGATTTGGCGCAAGCAGATCTCATCAGTAGAGGCAGCTACTGGGAAAAAGCTAGGTTATTTGTTTAGGGTTAAGAAGTACTTTGCTCCACATGACCTTCTCACTCTGTACAAGGCCCAGATAAGTCCAAGAGTCTAGTACTGCTCTCATGCTTGGGGTGCTGACACCCCGACTACATTATCCAGGCTCGATGCTGTTTAGAGGTGGGCTGTCCGACAGATCGATAACTTTTCAACATGCGCCTGCCAGACACAGACCCTTGGTATATCGAGAACTGGCCGGTACGACCGCTCGTTTGCCCCTGAGGTACCGAGGCGGTTCATAAATCGGATTAAAAAAACTTCTTTCAGCTCTTCATAGCAGTCGCGGTGCTACGGCATTTAGACTTCTACCTGCCCGGTTGCTTCGGCGTAATGAAAAAATGTAATTGCTAATCATTTGGTTCTATTTCTAAACAAATCTCTCATTCATTATTTGCGGCTCACGTTTGAATGAAACGATACATCCTGCGGTAACTAAAGGAATTCCCTGATCGTTACATGAAAGCGATAAGACTTTTGGGTTCAGTATAAATTGAAAAATGGACAAATAGAACAACAAATAGCAACTGATCGTCTCTCTTCAAACATCTAGTTCAGCTAAGGTGAGATACATTTTTTAAGAATTTATTTTTATTGTTGCATAACTTTAAGATTCGACAGAACTTTTAAAATTAATGCATAAAGTCTATATAAACATGGGTCGAAAAATGCGTGGCTTCCGAAATACAGGGTGTTTAAATTTACTTTCTAAAATAGTTTTTTTTAAATATTTCGAACAATATTTGATGTATAATAGTGAAAATTTACTGTAGCCGCTAGAGGGCGCTCTCTACTGTAACTGTAGTGTATTAAAATGACCGAAAATTTTTTCTCAGTGCAATTTTTTGGTTTTTGAACAAAAATACTGATTCTTCGCACTTTTCAACATAAAAAAGCTCTCCTGTGAGTTTTCGTTATAGTTAGCCGTTTTTGAGGTATTTCGATTTTTAAGGTTCGATGCATTTTTAATTATTTATGGGAAAATAATTTTTTTTTTAAACACAGCAATAATTCCTAACTCCAAATAAACACAAAAAAACAGAATATTAATTTGTTTAATTTTCCAATATTATTTTTAACAACTTAAATTAATTATTTACAACTAAAATGCTATTGGATAGTTAGGACAAACATACAAAATCTAAAGTAGTTGCTCGAAATGTAAACCCAATTGTTCAATACACAATTCACATCTACGAAAGATCGAACGTGGTATAGCATTATTCAAATAAGGCCTTATTTCATCACATGCATTCCTGATGCTGTCTATTAGCATATCTCTCAGTGGCGGCTGGTCCATAGGGGCGAAAAGGCTACAGCCCCCCAAGACAAAATGCGAATTAACAAAAAATTTAAAATATGATTTTGTGATTAAATAATTTCCAGATATATACGAAAATTCAATCAAAACCTGAATTTTAATAGTAGCCAGTTACGCAACACGCAATATATATATATATATATATATATATATATATATATATTATCCGATCCCAATACCCCGAAGTCGCGAGCTAGATTCCCTATCGATTCGAGGCTAGAATAATTTTTGCCGCGATCGCCGACCTGATTGAGTGGCTCGCTACGTCATACCTCCCACGCGCTTACGAGTTTTATACGGGATTTTAACACGCGAGTTGGCGAAATAATTTTTAGCCAGTCCCGATTTACGTGTGTACGAAATCGCTTCGTCGCGTCCCCGTGCCGTCGTTCGGGCGTTCAAAAAGTTTAAAATGGCAAATGAAGTACAAAATTTGTTAAAAGGTGAATTTTCTCGGCTTCCGCTTGCTGAAAAAATAATAATAAAATCCCTTGGAAGGCCGATTCCAAATATCAACCTTACTCAGGCTGATAAATCGACGAAAGCTGGTTGTTTTAAGAGACATTTTAAGAAAGATATCTATAACAAAAACAAATGGATATGCGGTTGTGGCACATTAAACGCCCTGTTTTGTTTTCCGTGCTTACTGTTTTATTCAGATGCAGCGGAAAAGACATGGACAAGAACTGGATTTAAAGATTTAAAGCATATAAACCAGAAAATTAGTAAGCATGAAAATTCGGCTCGTCACATGATTTGTTCGACAGAATTAGCTTTATTGGGAACAGCTAGTATCGCTGCTCAGTTAGATTCCGCTTACAGGCAAAATATTATTAAGCACAACGAGCAAGTGGACAAAAATAGATATCTTTTAAAAAGAATAATAAACTGTATAAAGTTTTGCGGTAAATTGGAATTAGCGTTAAGAGGGCACGACGAAAGTGAAGACTCTGAAAATCGTGGCATTTTTCGAGAGTTGATTAATTTTACGTCCGAACTGGATACAATATTAAAGGAACATTTAAAAAGTGCGACTCTGTTTAAGGGTACTTCTAAAACAGTACAAAATGAAATACTAGATAGTATGTTGGAAGTCTGCCAACAAGAAATTCGACAGCAAATTAATGCAGCAGAGTTTTTAGCTATACAGTGCGACGAAACAACAGATATTTCACATCATTGTCAAATGGTAATGATATTTAGATATCTCCATGAAGGTGAAATACAAGAAAGATTTTGGCGTTTTTTGAGCGTTACGGACAAGACAGCTGAAGGTTTGGCAAAGTGTATCGAAGAAGAACTAGGCCCATTATTAAAAGATTCACCCCACAAATTAATTGCGCAAACTTATGATGGTGCAAACGTAATGAGCGGTAGCAGTGGTGGAGTTCAAACAAAAATCAAACAAAAATATCAGAACGCTCATTTTATACACTGTTACGCTCACCAACTGAACTTAATTATGCAGAGAGCAGCCAGCCAAAATCCAAAAGTAAAAGTGTTTTTTTCAAACCTGTCGGCAATTCCAAGTTTCTTCTCCAACTCCACGCACAGATGCGATTTATTGGAAAAAATAGTTAAAACCAAAATGCCAAAGGTTGCGCCAACACGGTGGAATTATAACATTCGCACAGTCAGTGCCGTTTTTGAGAACCGTGAAAGTCTTATTGATTGTTTCCGGGAGTTAGAGAATAAATGTGGTAAAACAATTACTAGTAAGGAGGCATACGGTTTAAGAAGAGCACTCGAAGATTCTGATTTCATCTTTTTTTTGACTTTTTTTCACAAAACCCTACCGCACGTAGCTATTTTGTTTAACCAGTTTCAAAGTAGGAATAAAGACAGTGTACAACTTTTAAAAGATATTGACGTATTTGAGAAGGCCATTGTATTGATTAGGGACACTACAGAGGATATACAGCAAACTGTTGAAAATGAGCATGGAGACAATGGAAATAAACGCAGAAAAGTAGGACCCGAAGAAAGAAATTGTATTATTGCAAAAGAAGTTTGCGATATAATAATTGTACAGACAAAAGAGAGACTTTCTTACAGGGGTCATCTAGAAGCTGCATCTTTATTAGATACACAAAACTTCACAAACTATTCGAGATATTTTTCAGCAAAAATACTGAATTCAGTTGTGACTTATTATCCAATGGTAAATAAAGAAAAACTGAAAACCGAATTCGAAGTAATGTACACGAGGGAAGACTTCAAAAATATTACAGGTGGTTTGAATTTGCTGTCCCTATTGACTAATAACAACCTAGAGGAAACTTTTAGCGAAGTAACTAAGTTCTTGCAAATAATTATAACTACTCCCATGTCAACTTCCGAAGCAGAGCGCTGTTTCTCAACCCTTAAGAGGATAAAATCGTTTTTAAGAAACTCGATGGGCAATGAACGACTGAATGCATTGGCAATGATGTCTGTTAATAAGAATCTGGTACATAATATCAGCAATTTCGACGAAAAAGTGATGGAACATTTTATTTCACAGAAAGACAGAAGATTAGACTTTACATATAAACATTAAAAAATATTTTGTAATAAATAGAAGTGTGAAGTGTGACAGTTGAAACACAATGTTTGCTCTAGCTGTAGGTAGGTATACTTAGTCGTTTATAATACAATAATACATTTAGGTATACCGTATTTCTGTTCTCTTTTCCAGTTATTTATAGTTACATGTGTTGTAAGAAAGTGAAAAACTATACTTTTGAGTACTGTTGTTCTTTTGATAATAGATGCTCTGTTGCTTTCATATTAGATGCTGCTTTCTTTTGCGATAAGTTCTCGTACCTAAAATATGTTTGTTCCTATACAGAGGACTGTACATAAAATATATAGGTATAGGATTGCCACATGATCCATCCACAAAATCAGGACATAAAAAATGCAAAAAAAAATTATAGCTCTAAAAATGTATATTTGAATTTGAAGGCTCAAAATGGAAGTTTTTGGGCGTGGCACCGTAAAAATTCTTTGCCTCCGGCGGTGACTGCGGCAGGCCACCCTTCCCTACAATAGCCCACCATTTCTCACAGCCACCGGCCGCCACTGATATCTCTTGTGGTTACGGGAGTCTGGTACACTTTACTATCTATCTATCTATCTATAGACAGTATCGGTTTGAGGTGTATCATTTTCAAATGCCTATCCCAACCAGCAATTATCACTCCTATGAGCGTTGCAAGAACGATTATACAGTCTTCCTTACACAGCATTGTATGCTATAAGAACATTGGCAAAGCGCTCTTAGAACAGCTATACAAGCGGAATGGGCACACCTAATAGGGACACTTCAATCATTTAAGAGGTTGTATAAGGGCTGCAGGTAACAGTTATACAACAAAAGTGTAAACCTCTTGCAGGCGCTATAGAACATTTGCTTCGGTGCAAGATTCAGTGTTTGTCAACTATGCAACTATTCTGTTACATGATTCTACTTTATTGCAACCGAACTATTTCTTATATATTATGTAGGCGAAGTGAAGAATATATAAGTAACACATTACAGTCATCTTGTTTACTTACATACCGATATTTCTTAACATTTCTCGTATGCACAGTCATTTTTTATCACAGTCAATTAACATTTTAGAGGTTTACGGGAACTTGGAAACACATGTCATAAGCAGATAATCATGTCACCATCCTCCGTTAAAGTAAAACGCTAAAAGCATCACTATTCGCCTCTACCGAGTGTTTACCATGAAAAAATTGAGTGCTAAAGTAACAAATATACAGATAAGTTCCTTGATTAAGTGGTTTCTGTGTAGTATAAATAGGAGGAATGGCAAGACTTGAGGTATAGTCGTCTCTGAATCGCCTACTGTGGTAAGGACATTATTTCATATTACTAGAGGAAATATTTTTCCCCGTCAGGGAAGAGTTTGAATTCCAGTTATCTACCTTCAATATTCAAACTAATTTTTCCCCAAAAGAAGTTTTTTGACAAACATATCTTACAAGGAGCGATTCATGCAAAATAATATATAAAATAATTTTCTTTTATTTTTTGGTTTGGGTCGGAGCTCAATTTCTGGTGTAGTCTAAAACACGAACATTTGTGTATGTATCATTTATACTGTCAATACATGTCCAAAATCTATTCCCAATGTTTATTTTTTTTTCCGTTTGGAAATTATCACTTCAACACCCTGTGACAAGAAGCTAAATATAAAATTTTCGTGTGTCTATTTTACTCTCTACAAATATAGGCACGGTTTTCTGAATCATCCCGAGGCATACGATTCCAAAAAAAGACGACCAAATTTAATTGATACATTTTTCTTTCAGAAAACCAAACCCAACCATAACAATGAAGTTTTTCCTGTTCGTCGTTGTCGCCATCATGGCCTTAATCGCCGGAATGACCCAGGCCCAGGACTGCCTGCCCAACGGTGCGACTTGCACGTACACCGGAACCATGGGCAACTGTTGTTCAAGTTTCTGTCTCCAACAACCCGAGCAATCCACCGGAGTCTGTCAGGATCGTTAATACAGTCCACACATCTCGAATTGACTTTTAAAATGTATTTTTTGTTTATTAAAACGCAGTATTCTAGTAACACGTGTTTCTTGTGTTTATCCTACATCGGTGTAACAACAGGGGTCATTTCTCCCTGCTCCAAGAAGACTGACAGCTTCCAGCTTACGTTTTTACGTAGCAAGCCAGGATATCCAGGCAAAAAATTGTTATGTTTTACAACAGAAGTTGGAAAAATTACTCATTTTTCGCGTATATTCAAATAGCTGTGAATTTATTCGATATAAGCGATTCAAAAGAATACATAGCGGTAAACCTGAAACAATAGCCAAAAGTTGGAGCTTTGTGATGCACAGTATCATAGAAAAATTCGTTCAAAAATTATTCAATGGTTTCTGCAAATGTGTAAATTATTTCTAAAATTATATACAGGGTGTTCCTTAATGATATGCCAATATTTAAGGGTGTCAATTTACATGGAAAATTAAAGTTAGTTTGCTTTATAAACTGTATATATGGTCTAAAACCCTTCTAGTACCATATTTGGTGTAAGGGCGTGGTAGAACTTTACATTTAATAATCACTGGGCAACAAATTTTAGTTTTTTAATTGTATCTTGTGGGAAAAGTGCACTTCATTGTTAATTTTGGGGCGCTGAATCCAAAAATGATAATGAAATTAAAAATTTTTTATTTTTTATATATTAAAAAAAGTAACAAGATCATATACTTATAAGAATCACTATATGCGCTGTCTTTTTGCTGTTCTTTTATGGATCGTTTCTGGAGCATCTCTACCAAGAGTCCAACAGTAGTCTGTAAGCATGGAAGGATTCCACTTTCCCTGGTACCTTTTTTCCATTGTTGAAATATCCTGATGAAAACGTTCGCCGTGCTCATCACTTGCGGCTCCGCAATTGTCAGGAAAAAAGTCCAGGTGTGAGTGTAAGAAATGTATCTCCAGAGACATATTACAGTCCATCTTTTGATACGATGACAGCATATTTTTGACAAGGGTTTTATAGGTGTCAGCTTTTCTATTTTCCAAGAAATTAGTGACCACCAGACGGAAATCATTCCAAGCAGTTTTTCAATACCTGTTAAAGTGTTTTCAAACTGTGTATCTTTCAAAACATTTCGAATCTGTGGCCCAACAAAAATACCTTCTTTAACCTTTGCCTCACTTAGTCTTGGAAATTTCTGACGCAGGTATTGAAAAGCTGACCCATCTCTATCTAATGCCTTGACAAAGATTTTCATTAGGCCCAACTTGATATGCAGTGGTGGTAATACATTTTTTTTTCGAATCTACTAATGGCATATGCTGTACATTTTTTGACCTGGCTCTAGGGATTGACGAATAGGCCAGTTTTGTCTGGTGTAATGAAGTGCCTTTGTCCGACTGTCCCATTCACACAAAAAACAGCAAAACTTTGTGTAGCCTAGCTGCAGCCCAAGTAAAAGTGCAACAACTTTCAAATCGCCACAAATATGCCATTGGTGCTCATCGTATTTTATGTATGTCAATAGGTACTTCATATTGTCATATGATTCTTTCATGTGAACTGCATACCCGACAGGAAGAGATGGTCAAATATTTCCAATATGCAATAACACTGCCTTTAAGCTCAATGTTGAACTGTCTATAAACAATCTCCATTCTTCTGGGTTATAGTTTATATTTAAAGCCGCCAGTAAGCCGTTAATGTTACTGCAGAAAACCAAGTTATTCTCCATATTGAAAAATGGTTCTAAGTCTTTGTGGCGTTTACGAAAAACACATACCGAAACATCGGCTTCTAACAAGCTCCACTGCTGCAGTCTTGATCCAAGTAACTCTGCCTTACATTTTGGAAGTTCTAAATCTCTTACAAGATCATTTAATTCTGACTGTGTTATTTTGTGCGGTTGGTGGCATGACGTGCTCGGTATAAAATCAGGATCTCTTGACGTTGATGGCATATCTTCTTCCCCACGAATCACTCGATCACCATGATCTGATTCGTTTTCTGATTCTGGGGTTTTGGAATAGGATTTTCGTCACTGTGAGGCACAGGTCTCATCGCAGATGGTATGTTTGGGTAGTTAATAACCGATTTTTTTTTCTTGGACATACCTGTGGCTTGTCCAACACAAGGTACCATGCAAAAGTAACAATCATTAATATGATTTGTACGCTCTCTCCAAACCATTGGGACAGCAAAGCGCATAGACCGTTTTTTGCCATTTAACCAGCTCCTCAGACTTGAAGCACATGTATTACAGCAGATGTGGGGTGCCCACTGTTTGTCTTGATCACCTAGTTTACAACCGAAATAAAGCTGAGATGCCTTTGTTATTAGTGGAATAATAGACCATCTCTGAGACGCAAAAGTCAAATCACCACACACGTAACAAAACTGATCTTGATTGTTTACACACTTTCGAGACATCTTGCATGAACGCTGTCAGCCAACTGAGGAAAAAATGGCTAATATAAAACAATATAATGTACACGTATGTATAACGTAACACAGTCATGCCGATTACATCATCTTTCCTTGCCGAATATAAAAATGTAGCACGTGCATTCTTGTGAATTACAGTATATTAACACTGTCACAGCAGGAACACATATAATTACCGTATCTCTAAAACTTGAACTGATATTGAAAAAATAAGTTTCATTCCGGTTTTAGCACATTAAAGATAGTAATATTTTGTTGATTTTATTTAGGATATTTTTTAGCTGTTGATCAGTGTTATCTAAAAGTTATAAAAACTATTGTTTTCAGTTTCCTTGTTTTTTTTTCAGATAGAAAGGGGGTGGCATATCGACTTTTCCTAAGAGACCATTTTCTTTCGAATAATTTGACACTACACACTCTTATTTTATTTTCACTGAATAATTGTAAGAAACGATCATACCAAATAATACGTATCTTCATTCGATATACCTATGGACTTCGTCCTATTATTCTAGTTATTCGTGACAAAAACTGAAGATGTTGCTATCGCTACTTCAACAAATATCTAATCTAGGTTATTGAAAATAATGTCAGTTTTATAAAATTATTTGTTACGTAGTTAATTTACAATAGGAAACTATACTAGAAACAAGAAACTTTTGAAACATTTTGATCATAACTTTTTCTTAGGATAGGTCAAAGATCAGAAAGATGCATAGACAAATTTCCTGAAAAAACGTGACTTCCTTTGCTCACCCTGTATAAGTGGATAAACGAAAGAAGTATACCGATTAAGCTCTGTACGTGTTCTTAAACAGTTGATAAAGAACCTCCCAAATTCCGCAACTCGATATCTCTTTCCGTTTTGAAAATAACAAAATTTGAATTTGGGTAAAATTTTCCATGATGGAAAGCAATAGTCCACCAGTTTATATCCAATAAAAAAAACCAATTTGAAATAGGAAGACAAAAACAGCTACATATCCACATACCCGATTTTCAAAATCATATCGTAAAACAAAGTCGATTTCTAAAACAAACTGACGATTTGAATCATCTTACTATTTGATAAACAGAGAAAGTTGACTTTAACGGTAATCATGTTCCGTTCTCGTCAAAGTAAATATTTAGAATACATATCGTAGTACCCCCGTAGTAGTACCCAACCGCCGTTGGACTTCACGTAATTAAGATCGAACATCGCTTACCGGTAAGTTCGTTTGATGATGAAATTATGGAGCGAATTTTTCTCAAAGACTAATAAATTTCAATGCCAAAAAATAGCAGCATAGCAACACGACATAGTAAACTGGCTCTTTTATCTTCGTGTGTTTGTCCAGTAACAACATCCGACATCACTTAATCCTTTGTTGCATCATCTAATACCAGTTTTGATAAAAAAACAGGAGTATATTAATATTCAGTGCGTTTTATTATAATGATAACATTCTAAAAACATTGAAAGCTTAAACCAAATAATACAAAAGCTAATAATAAAACAAAGGAATTAGAGTTAATCCAAGTAGTCTATCTGCAGTCTCCGTATTGCCATCCTACTTGCTGGTAGCAAAATCCAGAACAACAGTTGCCCATGCTCCCGTCAGCTTGGCAACGTCCACCGTTCGGGATGCAGTCGAGAGCGTATGCGACAGAGATGACGTAAAAGATGATTGTGATGACCAGCACGACAAACATAACGAATTCCATTTTGATAAATGTAGCTAAAAAATAAAAGGAATAATAGCACGTTGCATACTGGGTTGGGAAGCGAGCTATCAGCTTATACAAATTCGATCTTCACCATTGGAAACTCCTCGATTTAATTCTCTTCTTCTCAGTTTTCCAGACTCTTATGCTACGTTCAATTTAAGGTCTGGTCTGGTTTACGAAACAAATGAAATCTAATAATTTCAAGGCCTACCTAGGAACTTTTGTTTTCTTAGGAATAACTAAGGATAATGCCAATACACAACATATACTAAGTGAAATATAAATGTTTAAATGGTTTTATTTTAATAAAAGTTGGTGAATGTATTTATCTTACTGTAAATAACAAGTGAAAAAAGCGAGTTTGATAGGGGCCGTATAGTGGGACTTCGGGACTTTCTTTTCGGGCAATTGCAGTTAGAGTGCAAAGAAGTGTAGACACTGTGGTTAGGTGTTGTCAGGCATGGCTTCGAGAAGGCCGTACGCAAAGCGCAAGGGGCACTGGACGCCGCCGTAGAACAACAGACCGTGAAGATCGCCGCCTAAGATTATTCGCCCTAAGGGACCGTTTCTCCTCTACCAGGTCCATTGCAAATGGATGGTTTGCAGAACACGGAGGACCTATTGGCACGCGAAGTGTTTACCGACGAATGAGAAGTTTTGGCTTGTTTTCATACCGGCCACACTGGGTCCTCCCTTTAACTCGAGAACACCGACGTAATCGCCTTGAGTGGTGCAGACAACGGTCACTCTGGGATCAGGAATGGAACAGTATTGTCTTTAGTGACGAGTCTCGATTTTGTTTAGGCATGCACGATGGTCGTGCCAGGGTTAGAAGGCGACGTGGTGAAAGGAGGAATCCACAGTTTTTTGTTGTTCATCACACTGTTGGAGTTATGGTTTGGGGTGCTATAGCTTATGGTTCCAGGTCACCTTTAATCTTCATCAGAGGTAACATGAACGCGCAGCGTTATATCCACGAAGTTCTAGAACCCCATCTTTTACCCTATCTTGACACCCTCGCAGATCCAACTTTCCAACAAGATAATGCCCGACCACATGTTGCAAGAGTCACAATAGACTTCTTTCAACATAATGATGTCACATTGTTACCATGGCCACCAAGATCTCCCGACTTATCCCCAATTGAGCACGTGTGGGATATGATGGGTAGGAGATTGCTCAATTTGCAACGTCCTCCTCAGACTCTAGAAGCACTTCGAGAGGAGTTGGTGGTTGCCTGGACTGAGACACCACAGGAGGACATTGCCCACCTGATCAGAAGCATGCCTAGGCGCGTTGGAGAATGCGTAGCACATCAGGGTGCATCCAGACATTATTAAAGGTCAAAGGGCTTTAAAGCAGTGCAATCATTTTTTATCATTTACTTACTATGCTTCATTAAGTACTTATACAAAATTTTATTAAAATAAAACCATTTAAACTGGATATTCGGATTTATATGTCACTTAGTATAGTCAACATGTTCATATTGTTCGGATCCTGATATGACAAAAAATCCTTTACAAAACAAGTACGGCTTGGAATGCCTTCAACATTTTATTTTACAAGATTTTATTGAAATTTACTAAATAATGCTGGGTCCTGCATTTTATATCTCACTTAGTATATTAGAGGACGTACTTTGTTGATATGTAGTTATGAAAATAAAAAGACTTACCGTAATGCGCAGGGCAAGAAGTTGTAGTTGTAGTAGTTGTAGTTGTTGGGATTTGCTAAATCGCTGAAGTTGATCTATGTATTTATACTTTTTTATCTATAGGTGCGAAACACCGTATTGTTATCTAAAAAATCAAGTGGTACTCCATACATTAAGACTGAATCATGATGGATACGAATAGAATTATCTTTTTACTCCTCCAAATATACCGGGAGTTTCAAATTAAATACGCACAATTGGAATCTTGGAAACGGTAAGAGATGCGCATTCGGGTAAGAATATGACTCTCAAAAAGGATCGCAATTCCGACGATTTTAGAGACTGAAGAAACTGAATTTTACTCTAAGCCGCTCGTATTTTTTCTTTACTTTGTTAGGATGAATTTCAGTATAAAAGGCATATTAACATTTCTACATCTTCTCCTCTACAAGATGACATATACTAAGTGACATATAAATCTGAACACCCAGTTTAATTGGTTTTATTTTAATAAAATTTTGTATAAGTACTTAATGAAGCATAATAAGTAAATGATAAAAATTTCAAAATGATTGCACTGCTTTAAAGCCCTTTGACCTTTAATAATGTGTGGATGCACCCTGATGTGCTACGCATTCTCCAACGCGCCTAGGCATGCTTCTGATCAGGTGGTCAATGTCCTCATGTGGTATCTCATTCTAGGCAACCACCAACTTCTCTCGAAGTGCTTCTAGAGTCTGAGGAGGACGTTGCAAATTGAGCAATCTCCTACCCATCATATATCCCACACGTGCTCAATTGGGGATAAGTCGGGAGATCTTGGTGGCCATGGTAACAATGTGACATCATTATGTTGAAAGAAGTCTATTGTGACTCTTGCAACATGTGGTCGGGCATTATCTTGTTGGAAAGTTGGATCTGCCAGGATGTCAAGATAGGGTAAAAGATGGGGTTCTAGAACTTCGTGGATATAACGCTGCGCGTTCATGTTACCTCTGATGAAGATTAAAGGTGACCTGGATCCATAAGCTATAGCACCCCAAACCATAACTCCAACAGTGTGATGAACATGTCTTTCAACAAAAAACTGTGGATTCCTCCTTTCACCACGTCGCCTTCTAACCCTGACACGACCATCGTGCATGCCTAAACAAAATCGGGACTCGTCACTAAAGACAATACTGTTCCATTTCTGATCCCAGAGTGACCGTTGTCTGCACCACTCAAGGCGATTACGTCGGTATTCTCGAGTTAAAGGGAGGACCCAGTGTGGCCAGTATGAAAACAAGCCAAAACTTCTAATTCGTCGGTAAACACTTCGCATGCCAATAGGTCTTCCGTCTTCTGCAAACCATTCATTTGCAATGGACCTGGTAGTAGAGAAACGGTCCCTTAAGGCCAATAATCTTAGGCGGCGATCTTCACGGTCTGTTGTTCTACGGCGGCGTCGAGTGCCCCTTGCCCTTTGCGTACGGCCTTCTCGAAGCCATGCCTGACAATACCTAACCACAGTGTCTACACTTCTTTGCACTCTAACTGCAATTGCCCGAAAAGGAAGTCCAGCTTCCCGAAGTCCCACTATTCGGCCCCTATCAAACTCACTAAGTTGACGAAATCGTAAAGGATGTCAAGAACCAAAATCCGCCAACGTTTATTCAGTTTATTACTTGCCACGCCACTTTCCACCTTTTTTAAAATTTTGATCACCTACTAGTAATTTCAATTTGTCTCCATCAGTGGTAGAGTGCCCATTCCTAGGCCAAGCCCTTTTCAACGATTTACTTTTGGTAAATTTCATAGTGTATTGATTGTATAGTTCAACAGGTATTTTACCTTTCTTTCTCAACGATTCAGTATTGTGTCGGAAAAAAAATTCTGTGGTTTTTCTCCGTTACTTGGTTTCCTGTTCAACGTACCTTCTTCCAGGTCACTCGTTGAACCTTCCTTTTTAAAAGCAGGGGTTTCGTGTCAGTCACTTTTGATTTTGGGATATAAGGTGCCGAACACCAGTCAGTGGAGTCGTACGTTTAGTTATTTTGGTTTGGGTGCTACCCCGTCCATTTTCTCATGGGCGCTTACTCTTCGGCATAATAGGCATCACGGAGAACCACCATACACTCCTCCAGCTTTGTTCGTAGCTGCTTCGCGGCCGGTATTGCCGGAAGTCACCACTTCCCCTTAGCAGCCTACTGATGGGGAAGTATTGCAACCGCAAAAATTAAAAATTCCCGAAAATGAGGTATTATAATTTTTGGATGTTTTATGTCATGCACATCACTAAAAATCATGTCACTCTTTGTAGCGGTTACAAATTTTAATTGGGAAATCGGGATTCTGTGGGCTGACGAGAATGTATCTCAATTTTTTCACGTTGTATCTATACGCCTACAGCCCCAGTAATTCTACGCACACATTAGACATATTTCACTCATCTTAGGTGTCCAAGTACATTTACCCTTAAAACTTAGAAATGCATAGTCGGGTGTCGATACGTGCGACGTCGTCTTCCGATGGACAAGCGTCATCGTCGGTGGTCGAACGTTACAATCGCTTCCATACTGCTGTGGGCTACGTGAACTGTGCATGGTGAAAGCTAATATCGTCATTCACACGGAGTTGGTCATCGCAACGATTTTGGGTACATGCAGCAGTGCCTCTCAGGGGAGGACGAAGGTCATTTAATTTTTTGTTATACATGTTCTCTTAGAAGGGCTAACTTGTGCCAAACGTAATCAGTTCCGGACTGATAATAACGTAGCGTGGAAAGTACAGGGTGAGCCATCTTTTATGTTGGTATGTAAACATAAAATAACTTTGAAAACGAAAAACTGATTTCTATATATCGGGTATTTTTATTAAATATGTTCCTTTACAACTTATTGGGACACAACATCTATTAAGTAGTCACCTTTATTAGCCAAAGCAAAATGTGCCTGTTTTGCTGCGTTTTCCATGAATCCCCCGGTTGGCAAATATCAAAGTCATTCGATGTTCCAATACCGACATAAAAGACGGCGCACTTGGTATATAGTCAAGTTTTTACCATTTTTCAATGACAATCAAGAGTAACTAAAACATGTACGATATGTGGTTTCAACGGTTAAATTAAATCTCATTTTTTTCATCCGAAAAACGGCCAGACACATCATTCAGATCTATCATAACATTTGAAGTACGGCATCGACATTGTTTACTGATTCCAAACAGCAAACACTTCGGTCTGTTGTCAATAACCCACTCAGTCAAAGATCGTTGGAAAAAAATAAATGGAGTGCTATGTTGTCGTTGCTACGTGCCGTTAGTGATAACAACCACTCAGGAGGTGACGAATATCAAATACTGTTTATGTTATTGACGCCTAAGGTATTTCCATGAAGATCTTATCTAATTTATTATACGCCTCAAGTGGAAAATGTATTCGTTTGTTTATGCGATATTTTTAGAAGCATATGGTGCCATCAATAAATAATCCTAGATAACAAACCCGATGCATCGCTTTCTAACGGACGTATCGTCAGTCGTTCATACAATTTATAATGGTCTCCTTGATTTTCGTAGTTTTCATCTGCTCCGTGTTAGCGCTCCATTTTGAGGTTATGTAACTGATATCTATACTGAGGTTAAATGCTGCGACCTTCTTGGAATTTTTAAAGGCTGAACATGCAAATATGTGGGATGATGTTATGTTAGATTTAAGAAGATTGGCCTGGTTCCAGCTTGATGGTTGTCCAGCTCATTATTCGAGAATAGTTAGAAACTGGCTGGACGAAAATTATCCAGAAAGATGGATCGGCCGTGGAGGACCAGTCGCCTGGCCTCCACGATCCCCTGACCTAAATCCATTAGATTTCTTTGTGTGGGGATTTCTAAAAGAAAAAGTGTACCAGACTCCCGTAACCACATCATTCGTAGATGTGAATTGTGTTAGTCGTAAATAATTAATTTAATTTGTTAAAAATAATATTGAAAAATTAAACAAATTAATATTCTGTTTTTTTGTGTTTATTTGGAGTTAGGAATTATTGCTGTGTTTAAAAACACAATCTAAACGATCATCTTAATTACTTGTAATGCCCAAATCGAAAATGTAAAAAAAATATTATTTTCCCATAAATAATTGAAAATGCATCGAACCTTAAAAATCGAAATATCTCAAAAACGGCTGACTATAACGAAAACTGACAGGAGAGCTTTTTTATGTTGAAAAGTGCGAAGAATCGGTTTTTTTATTCAAAAAGCAAAAAATTGCACTAAGAAAAATTTTTCGGTCATTTTAATACACTACAGGTACAGTAGAGAGCGCCCTCTAGCGGCTACAGTAAAACTATGCCCATGGTTCGTTTTGTCGTACCAAAAAACCCTTGTATACCAATTTTCATTGTTATATATATAAGGTTCTAACCAAGAGCCGAGATTTAACAGCGAATGGAAAAACCATCTGTTTTGATATCGGGAATTTTATCCACATTCCTGATATAATAATATTATGATGATTATGTGAAGATGGAAAGTGGGCCCTTGGTTTGCTATTGATACATAAACGATAAATCTAATAGCTGGGAAAATCAGAATGCTCGACCTCAGATAATCTAATCGAAGTTGCATAACCACAACATTTACAATTGCAAGTGATCAGTCATCGATTAAAAAGTGGATAACTGGTGTAATTTAATATCACTTATAAATAAACGCTTATAGGCCAGGACATTTAAAATCTTTTGACATTACTATATTTAAGTGCTTCTAGCCTCGGAAATTCTACGTATATATTCATACATAAATTGCCACCTAAGACTAACATCGCAACGTTGTCGGATTGACAATAAGGCAAGGAAAATTTTCTAGGTCGCAACGTTGTCAACTGGGGACTAATTATATGACCTTATTCGGCTGACTTGATCCAGTAGATTTTTTTATACGTGTTCGTTGTAAACTTCTTTAAAAAGGATTTAACTTTTTATGAACTGATGCCATGGTTTCGTGGAAGGTGCAGACTCAACCTAGTTGATTCTTTTAGAGAGCTTTCGTCCTGGCGGTACGTTTACGTAACGCAACTGATTGTGAAAAAAAATCCCAGGCTTTCAAGTTGGATGTCACCTTTCTAATGACTTTAAAACAAAACGCGATTGGAAGTTTATACGAGGGTTGCTTCAAAAATAAGTTTTCAATATCGTGGATGTTCGTCTGACCGTAATAGCACTCTCGTCAACATTTGAGGAGATGCTTATACACGTTTCGCCATATAGTTCACTCAAACGACGATGAATATCTATGGGTGGCAACGTTTTTACGTGCAGAAATCGGAGGACCGCACGAATTTCGTATCTGACTGTGAGGACACCATTGCGCATGGCTGTAAGGCCCGTACTGAGCATCGCAAGTAGGCGCTTCTTGTTGAGATCGGTGGACCGGGAGGCGACAAACACGACAGCGTTGAGACAATCCCCGTTTTAAGGATAAAGATCGGTTAAATTTAAAAACAATGCCTTCTGTTAGTAACAATTTTAAGCGTACGGAGTCGCAGGTAACAGATAGTGAAGACTAAAACATCCGTATTGCTTGGTGGTCACAGGTTCAGTGGGGCTATGGCAGGTTTATCGCTAACAATGTTGATTTTGGCACTTGCTGTGAAAGTTGTATTGTCAACATCGAAGATGATTTCTGTGATAAAGCTATATATATACTAAGTGACATATAAATCCGAACACCCAGTTTAAATGGTTTTATTTTAATAAAATTTTGTATAAGTACTTAATGAAGCATAATAAGTAAATGATAAAAAATTCAAAACGATTGCACTGCTTTAAAGCCCTTTGACCTTTAATAATGTGTGGATGCACCCTGATGTGCTACGCATTCTCCAACGCGCCTAGGCATGCTTCTGATCAGGTGGTTAATGTCCTCCTGTGGTATCTCATTCCAGGCAACCACCAACTCCTCTCGAAGTGCTTCTAGAGACTGAGGAGGACGTTGCAAATTGAGCAATCTCCTACCCATCATATCCCACACGTGCTCAATTGGGGATAAGTTGGGAGATCCTGGTGGCCGTGGTAACAATGCGACATCATTATGTTGAAAGAAGTCTATTGTGACTCTTGCAACATGTGGTCGGGCATTATCTTGTTGGAAAGTTGGATCTGCCAGGGTAAAAGATGGGGTTCTAGAACTTCGTGGATATAACGCTGCGCATTCATGTTACCTCTGATGAAGATTAAAGGTGACCTGGAACCATAAGCTATAGCACCCCAAACCATAACTCCAACAGTGTGATGAACATGTCTTTCAACAAAAAACTGTGGATTCCTCCTTTCACCACGTCGCCTTCTAACCCTGGCACGACCATCGTGCATGCCTAAACAAAATCGAGACTCGTCACTAAAGACAATACTGTTCCATTCCTGATCCCAGAGTGACCGTTGTCTGCACCACTCAAGGCGATTACGTCGGTGTTCTCGAGTTCGTTCACTTTCCATACGATGTTTTCTACCATGTCCTATAGCTCAATCTGCATCGTGCAAAATGTCGAACATATCGTCGTTTGTAACATAATATTTTATGCTAGATTCACCTGATGATACACGAGCAATAAGCTTTTCAACGCCTCTCACAGAACACATGTCAAACCTCTTTAACCATCGATATTGTAGAGTAGTCTTACTTTTAGCATTTTTTGCCATCTTGACTGATTCTAACGTTTCCTGCTATTGTGCATTATTAAAATAAAAACTGTTTGCACTTTCTGAAGACAACAACTCATTGAAAACTTCGTAAAAACTCCACGCTAAACGCGCGCGTCCGCTTTCTTCAGTTGCCAAGTGGCGAAAGATGATGCAATAATAATTTCTACATCCAACTTTAACCACCCGAAAGCAGATAAAACGCGTTTTACCCGGGTCAAGTTCGAAATATGTAAAATTTCAATACTATTTTGGACATCAACCACTTTTTCTGGGTATTGTGCAATTTACCACGGTAAACCTAAGTTTAATCATTATTCTAACTTTACCCGTAATATATGTATATATTACTTTCCTCTGGTATCAATTTGTAAAGTAACACATTTCTTGGTGCCTCCGTAATGTGGTTCAGAAAAGTTACACTGGGTAAAAAGACCCTTATAACGAGACTTTATATTATTTCTGTCTTACTGAATCGATCAATTTGTACTTTCCACGCCTTGCGGAGGGAGCATGTATGAGCTACTAACTATAATCAGTTGTCAACCTTTGTCGATAAGAAGTTTTCCGGCAGAGTTCCAAATACATGAGGCTCCCGTGGTTTTTATGAAAAGCCAAAATAGTGCTTTGCTAGTTTTTACAAAACCTACGTCATTATCATTGTTACTGACCGCAATTCTTCAATAAGTAGCTTTCTCTCGTTAGGTAAATGATGATATTAAAAACCACCTAGGCAAATTGTATCCTGTTAATCTCATTACGTCAGTTTGAAAACGATTGAAGAACAAGTAATGTCGTGTACAATTTCGCATGTAATTATCTTTCTCGAATGCCTCAATAGTCGGCCTAAAATTGGAAAACATAGCCAACCAGCATCTGCACCTTACCCCCATTGACATTTACAAGTTCTCATTGGATGGATTGATGAGAGGGACACAAGTTTGGCAAAAAATCACGTTAACACGTGCAGCCCCCCTGGGCACTAACCCTAAAATCTTAAATGAAAAGGGCGATCGAGTGATACTTTATTTTAAAGGTCCTTCAATTCCCTATATAATGATGTAAATAATACATGAGCTTCAGTTGTGTAGTTTTGAAGATTTGTTGATTTAAAGTTTAAGTAGATTTTAATAGGTAAATCAGATTAGTTTGTACTACTTTCAGAACAAATTTGTCTGAAAGAATTTACTTAATAAGTAACTACGCTCATGGTTTGTATATCGTTTTGTTGTTGGAAATAGCTATTGGATCGTTTTTTGTGGCAAAAAAGTTATTTCTTGAAGAAAGATAAGGAAATATCTCGTACTTATTGTAAATAGGAATTTAGCACATAGTTTGCGATTTATTTAACCAAACTTTGTTGCTAAAATAACTTGTAACGCTTTATTGCATAAATTAACCATGGCATATTCCACAGCAGAGAGAGTTGAAATTATCGAAATATTTTTCGGAAATAATCAGTGCGCTAATAGAACAGCAGAAATATTTAATGATCGACATGAGAACAGTGACGTGCATCGAAAATATGTTCTAGAACTTGTAGCTAAACTTCGGGAAACTGGGTCAGTCGCAACATTGAAAATCCCATAAGGAACGAAGCAATAGAAGTGGGTGTTTTAGGGCAAGTTTATGTAGATCCTACGTTAAGTACCCGCAAATTGGAGACTGTGTGTGGTGTACGTCTAGTTATAAAGGCCCATAGTTTTCATCCGCGTAAAGTTCACCTGGTACAAGAACGGAATGATAGGCGATTACAATTTTGTGAAGATACGAGTAAACGAATGTGATGAATCTTCAAACTAGAAATACATTCTTGATGCGCCACTGGTACTACCGTGCAGCCAAGGGACAAGGAATGCGGGCGAGAGAGGCGCGGGGAGAGGAGAACGCAAAAAAAGAGAAGAGCGCGGTTTTTACGACCGATGTGCGAGGTATTTTTGGGACGGAATATTTTGGAAAGGAAAATAGAGTACATGATTATTGTTTCATTTATGACACGAATTATAAACGATGAGCATTTTCTATTAAACACTTGCTTTTCCGACGAACGTTCCTTTTTCTTAAATGGCGTAGTAAACCAGCATATCTGCCGATATTGGTCCGATTTTAAACCCGGAATTTATCGTGAGGTACATACACAGCAGCCACGAAAATTAAATGTTTGGGCTGGTATGTTTGGCGATCATTTAGTTGGTCCTTTTTTCTTACCTGGAAATTTGACCGGTGAAATGTATTTAGAATTACTGGAAGACGCCATACATTGCGAATGGGTTGATGTTCCAACAGGATGGTGCCCCACCACATTACGCAATACGTATTCGACAATATTTAGATCAGACGTTTCCAGAGCGATGGATTGGTAGAAGAGGTACCGTTGAATGGCCCCCAAGATCGCCAGATTTATCACCTTTGGATTTCTTTATGTGGGGTCATTTGAAAAAGCAAAATCTATGCTACTCAGCCAACATCATCAGAAGACCTGCGACAAAGATTTGTGAATGAGTGCCTTCAAAGGTTTCCGTAAAAACACTCTGTATCTTTAAAATGGCTGAGCCGATTTTAACAGGCGTGAGCCAGTTGGAAAGAGCTACTCTTGATCTACAAATGTTTCAAAATTTGAAGTTTTTTTTAGTTTCACATGTCCCCGCTAGAGGGCTTTCTCCGGTATTCCCACAGAAATGATTAAGCTAACCAAGCTCACGAAAACCGCATCTCGATATATCTTCCTAACCTAAAAATTAAGCCAAAGAAAGTTTTATACATACATTTTATAAATTTTAATTTGTTTAAACAAATTTTTCTGGAATTCTTTCTTATTAAAATAACCCTTTTTGAAAATATTACAAAATATCCCTATAAGGTAAGTAAGTAATGCATATAAAAAATGAATATTTTTGTTTAAACGCATATTCACTATGAGTATGTACGAAAAAGACAATCAATATAAGCAGGTCATGGAATACAACAAAACAAATACCGAATCAAAACATAAATAATCGTCAAATTGTCAATGCTTTCGCTTTACTTTGCTTACTATATGTGTTTTACGACCGATGAAGCTGTTGATATGCTTGCAGTTTATTTTGATTGTCTTCAGAATGCCGCAGTAGAAAAGAGAGTCAACGCGACTCGATATCCAAATCGGCGTCTTTGCGACGTGAGAGTTTTCCCCGATTAGTGGTAAATATTTTCTTGTGTTCCTTGCCGTTGAAACGTAGCCCGAAAACTATCGTCGGCTCGTAAGCTCGCCATCAATCGAGGAAAAACTCTCATCACAGGTGGAGAATACAAAACAGAGCAGCGACTTGCAAAACGACTGGACTTAAGCTTCCAAAAGGAAAAATAAAGGCAACATTTAATTGCAACGTTTCGTTCTGGCAATTTTTATGAGACGATGAAAGAATGTGTCTTATGATATATAATGTCATCCAGCAAATATATCATATAATAAAAAAAATTGTGAGAAGTTTTTGAATATCAGATATTCCCTATTTATTTATTGTTAATAGTTACTATAACAATAAGACGTGCAGTTATTGGATTCGAAGAAATTTGTTGAAAGTTTTAATAGCTTTGATATGGTTTCTATGAAACTGTGCATTTCGTCAGTCCTATGTTTCTCTAGTCAGTACTCTGGCGGTCAATTTCAGAAAAAAAAAGTAAAAGTCTCAAAATCCACTCACAAAAGTGACTAGCCGTGGAACAATATATCTTTGTTGATGGAGAGAATAGTACGCCCTGAAGTCTACCACATTTATTCAGTAAATCCCAAATTTACCAATAGAAAAATAATATATATCTATAGATTAACAAAACAAAAACAAGGTTTCACGCAAAAAAAATAGTACAAAACAGTAATTAATTGATAAGTATCGTGCAATATATATTTTTGTATAAAATCACTCAACAATTCCAACAAAACATGAATCACGGTATACACAGAATAAAAGAAAATTTCATATTTTTGTTGTAAGTCATAGATTTGACTTAAGATCACAGAAAAAAAGTATCACAATTATATCAAAAAGAAGGAAAAGAAAGAATAATAGGCAGATCAATCTACCTCAAAGCAACTTAAAATAAACACATAAATTATTGTTCACGATTTTCCAAACAGAAAATTTATTAGTGCTTATCAAAAATAACCCCCAAATTTATGCCTAAAAAGTTGCAAAAAAGTTTTTTTCATAATTTTTTAAAAAACCTTATTAAAAGAGGACACTTTGGAGGTATTTTCAATTTATTCTAAAAAAAATACATAAACATTTTTTTTTAGGATGTACTATACATAGTATACTAAGTGACATATAAATCCGAACACCCAGTTTAAATGGTTTTATTTTAATAAAAGTTGGTGAATGTATTTATCTTACTGTAAATAACAAGTGAAAAAATTTTCAGCCTTATCAGTTGGACATTCCGGTTTTTATACTGCTTTTTTTTAATTCACTAACGCTCTAAAAATGAATATTTCAGCCGCAGTAAAGAATCAACGTTGGCGGATTTTGGTTCTTAACATCCTTTGCGATCGGTTACCATGCCTAGAGTACGGAGACCTGTACGATTTCGTCAACTTAGTGAGTTTGATAGGGGCCGTATAGTGGGACTTCGGCGAGCTGGACTTTCTTTTCGGGCAATTGCAGTTATAGAGCAAAGAAGTGTAGACACTGTGGTTAGGTGTTGTCAGGCATGGCTTCGAGAAGGCCGTACGCAAAGAGCAAGGGGCACTGGACGCCGCCGTAGAACAACAGACCGTGAAGATCGCCGCCTAAGATTAAAGGCCTTAAGGGACCGTTTCTCCACGACCAGGTCCATTGCAAAAGAATGGATTGCAGAACACGGAAGACCTATTGGCATGCGAAGTGTTTACCGACGAATGATGTTTTGGCTTGTTTTCAAAACCGGCCACACTGGGTCCTCCCTTTAACTCGAGAACACCGACGTAATCGCCTTGAGTGGTGCAGACAACGGTCACTCTGGGATCAGGAATGGAACAGTATTGTCTTTAGTGACGAGTCTCGATTTTGTTTAGGCATGCACGATGGTCGTGCCAGGGTTAGAAGGCGACGTGGTGAAAGGAGGAATCCACAGTTTTTTGTTCAAAGACATGTTCATCACACTGTTGGGGTGCGATAGCTTATGGTTCCAGGTCACCTTTAATCTTCATCAGAGGTAACATGAACGCGCAGCGTTCTATCCACGAAGTTCTAGAACCCCATCTTTTAGCCTATCTTGACACCCTGACAGATCCAACTTTCCAACAAGATAATGCCCGACCACATGTTGCAAGAGTCACAATAGACTTCCTTCAACATAATGATGTCACATTGTTACCATGGCCACCAAGATCTCCCGACTTATCCCCAATTGAGCGCGTGTGGGATATGATGGGTAGGAGATTGCTCAATTTGCAACGTCCTCCTCAGACTCTAGAAGCACTTCGAGAGGAGTTGGTGGTTGCCTGGAATGAGATACCACAGGAGGACATTGACCACCTGATCAGAAGCATGCCTAGGCGTGTTGGAGAATGCGTAGCACATCAGGGTGCATCCATACATATTCAAAGGTCAAAGGGCTTTAAAGCAGTGCAATCATTTTGAAATTTTATTTTATTAAAATAAAATCATTTAAACTGGGTGTTCGGATTTATATGTCACTTAGTATACTATCTGATAATTTCAAGTTCTGGTTTCTTGGGGATAATTAAGGCTTGGCAAAGTAAATGTATGATGCGATAGCCGTTTTTGGAATCGGTATCAAATACTCTATTCATCTGTGTAAAAATCCAAAATGGAGTCCGTAAGCAAAGGTACAGTTGTCTTAATGAAATTCCAATCATCTTGTAGAGAAGAAAAAATCACATTGTTAATTTGCAATCTATTTTGAAATCCCACTATAAATGAAGTTGGGAAAAAATCGTTTTTCCTGCTTCTCTCTTCGGAAGTACTATGAAAAATTTTTAAGCGTAATTTTGTTAATAACGTTGCCTCCATTCAAACGTCTTCGTATCTCTTACCGTTTCCGAGTAAAGGTCGAAATTGAAACACCCGGTATACTGGAAGCAGCGGAAAATTTTTCCATCAGCATACGATTGCTTTATGAAATACGTCGATATACTTCTTTTCCGAAATTCTAGACATCCTGATCTATTTGCAGCTGGCGTATGACAACAACAGGAGATATTGCTTCGTTGATATAATTGTAATCTAGTTTATGCGTGTTAAGAGGGAATTCCGACTCGTCATATGAATAAATAATCATCATTTCTGATTTAGTATAAATTAAGATCTGGATCTTTGGGTGGCATAACACAACCGATATTCAGTCTTGCAGCATCAAGTGAACTTCAGGTAAGAAGAAACATGGTTTAACATTTCTTTAGTCGTTAATAAGATATACAAAAACGATGCTTACGGGCGTTGTAGAAACTTTTTGGCTGACAAACAAAATATCATTAAACCGATTTTCAAAGGTTTTTCTCTCATTGTTATGGTCGTAACGTTGTATCAAATTTTTATTATGACTGACATGGTATTTTTGTTCTTATAATTTCGCTTCGTAGTGTTAGGATTGTATTTTCAAACCATGGCAAAAAAATATCCAGACATATTCGGAATTAAAGCATTATTGTTATTCATCCAGAGAACTAACGACACATACGAAACTATCCAAAGCGCTTCCTCAAATTGGTTACAAATGCTACTGAGATTATGCGATGGCAAAAGCAATTACAAGCAGACAAATTGACGGATAAATCGATTGATATTACTGGCATATTGGCATTATGAATACAAAAAACCTATCACAAATAATATTTCAATGATAAATACAGAAGGCAGCAACAACGAAAGTTAAACGATACTATTTTCAACTCAATATCTACAATTTGACATATATATATCAAAATTCAACAAATTTCCATGAAAGTGCAGTAATGACGCGTTTAACAGTCAGATAACAAGAACATTAAAAATTCATCATATTCCTGCATAGTATATATAGGCGGCTCAATATCAGTACTGCTACTAGTTTTCTTGAGTACTTAACACATCGGTAAGTTTATGCAATTTTTTAAAGTGATAAGAACTATGGTTTGTTATAGCGCAGTACATTTGAAATGTACGCGCTGTTCCAAAAACAGTTTTTAACGTCATGTAATCTTAAAAATAAATTTAGATTTTTTTTTTATGTTTATGGGATTTCTGGTTATTTTTCAAATATTTCTGGAGGGTTTCGGAAGCTGTGAATGGTTGTTGAAACGGTTTTGATATCAATTTGAACACATCGAAAAAGTATATACTAAGTGACATATAAATCCGAACACCCAGTTTAAACGGTTTAATTTTAATAAAATTTTGTATAAGTACTTAATGAAGCATAATAAGTAAATGATAAAAATTTCAAAGTGATTGCACTGCTTTAAAGCCCTTTGACCTTTAATAATGTGTGGATGCACCCTGATGTGCTACGCATTCTCCAACGCGCCTCGGCATGCTTCTGATCAGGTGGTCAATGTCCTCCTGTGGTATCTCATTCCAGGCAACCACCAACTCCTCCCGAAGTGCTTCTAGAGTCTGAGGAGGACGTCGCAAATTGAGCAATCTCCTACCCATCATATCCCACACGTGCTCAATTGGGGATAAGTCCGGAGATCTTGGTGGCCATGGTAACAATGTGACATCATTATGTTGAAAGAAGTGTATTGTGACTCTTGCAACATGTGGTCGGGCATTATCTTGTTGGAAAGTTGTATCTGCCAGGGTGTCAAGATAGGGTAAAAGATGGGGTTCTAGAACTTCGTGGATATAACGCTGATGAAGATTAAAGGTGACCTGGAACCATAAGCTATAGCACCCCAAACCATAACTCCAACAGTGTGATGAACATGTCTTTCAACAAAAAACTGTGGATTCCTCCTTTCACCACGTCCCCTTCTGACCCTGGCACGACCATCGTGCATGCCTAAACAAAATCGAGACTCGTCACTAAAGACAATACTGTTCCATTCCTGATCCCAGAGTGACCGTTGTCTGCACCACTCAAGGCGATTACGTCGGTGTTCTCGAGTTAAAGGGAGGACCCAGTGTGGCCGGTATGAAAACAAGCCAAAACTTCTCATTCGTCGGTAAACACTTCGCATGCCAATAGGTCTTCCGTGTTCTGCAAACCATTCATTTGCAATGGACCTGGTAGTGGAGAAACGGTCCCTTAAGGCCAATAATCTTAGGCGGCGATCTTCACGGTCTGTTGTTCTACGGCGGCGTCCAGTGCCCCTTGCGCTTTGCGTACGGCCTTCTCGAAGCCATGCCTGACAACACCTAACCACAGTGTCTACACTTCTTTGCACTCTAACTGCAATTGCCCGAAAAGAAAGTCCATCTTCCCGAAGTCCCACTATACGGCCCCTATCGAACTCACTAAGTCGACGAAATCGTACAGGTCTCCGTACTCTAGGCATCGTAACCGATCGTAAAGGATGTCAAGAACCAAAATCCGCCAACGTTGATTCTTTACTGCGGCTGAAATATTCATTTTTAGAGCGTTAGTAAATTAAAATGAATTGTTATTTACAGTAATTAAAATAAAACCATTTAAACTGGGTGTTCGGATTTATATGTCACTTAGTATATATTAATGCTTGGAAGGTACTAAGTCTCCATTTTGCTGAGGGTTTTACTTCTTTTTTGGTCAATATAAGCCCAAATTTTACTTCGCGCGATTACCGGTGGGAATGACGTGTACACCTCGTAAAATCGTGTAACTCATTTCCGTCCGTCTGTCCTCCACTCTTATAACCGGCTATAACTTGAGAAGTATCGTTCGGATTTGGATGAGATTTTTACATAATGTTACTACTATACTGAGGATGCAATGGGTTTGCAGTTTTTTAAAATCGGTCCAGTGGCGGCAAGAAAAAATGCCCGAAACGGAAAAAGTAGAAATCGCACGAATTTCGTTTTCTGACGTTCATTTTTGAAAAAGATTTCAGAGGTAAAAAACCTTGGGAGCCTCGTCTGCTCGAGTTAGGAAAGAATGTCTATGGACTAACTGTATGGACCTATTTGACTAACCTTTGACGCCATTGTTTGAAAAAAATCCTAGAGATTTTTAGTTTTTTTTAACGATAGCCAGTGGACCAATTTTTAAAAATGAGGAAGTAACTTTGATCATCAACTAACATATTCTACTAGAAAATACGCAATCCAGTCAAAAGCTGCACCTATGCGAAAGTAAGCAGCTGTATCTGTACAGGGTCTCCCGATTGCATGTCAATATTCGAACGGGAAATTTTTGGATCCATTTTTGGACGAAAATTGCCTAAATTTGGAGATACCGGGTGGTATATATTTTAATATAAGCGAAAAGAAATGAAATCTGTATTCATTTATGAGCAGATTTGATCACTTAATTTTTTCAGTTTGACACGTGGTTTACACAGAAAAAACAATAATGAAAATAAGTGCATGGTGATATTGTCAGGTTTGTTCTTATTATGCAGAGATACATTTTTTGTTTTTTTATGCAAAAGCCGTGCATTGGATTGAAAAAATCTGGCGATAAAATTGGCTTAGACATGATTGGTGATTTCAAGAATCAATTTTATTTTGAGAAAGGTCAGTGGCGTACCATTAAAATATGTAGATGAAGTTCCACACGAACGCCACTGGTGGTACATTAAAAAAATGTACTGCTTGCCTCTTAATACACAGTACATGTGTTCCGAATTCCATTAAAATATCTACAGTGGTATTTGCAGATATTAGTGTTAAATTATTTATGGAATATTTCACTACCCTGTGTCCCAAAAGTAAAGACGTTCAGGTCATACGTTCATATCAAGTTTATTTTTCTTAAGATGGAGTCAGAAGCGCCCTACTACATATTGAAATTCAATTAGAAAGTGTTCCTGCCTCTCGGACTATTCTCAGAGGTTTTGAGATCTCTTTTTCCGTTTTAGAGAATAACAAATCAAAAATTACGTATCCCCTAAAATGATAATGGAGCCTGTTTTTATTGCTTCTAAGGGAATTATTGAGGCCTCGAGAATACGTCAATCAATGCTGATAACTACCACCGAAATGCACCAATTTTTTGAAATAATCGCAAATCTGAAACGTAAAGTGTGCAATTTCTTTCATTATTTCGTAGGTACACTTCCCAACATGAAACTTTTCTACTTCCTTTTCGTCGTTATAATGGCGGTGCTTGGATTCCAAACCGCAGAAGCCTGCATTCCGAATGGTGGGAAATGCCAGGCGAATGGTAGCGCAGGAAACTGTTGTTCCGGATTCTGCTACCAACAGCCTGGATGGAAAGACGGAGATTGCAGATAGACGATTTTTTATTTTCAAAAATGTCCATCGATTACCAAACAAGCATTACAATAAATGAGTTACAACATTACTAAAAACGCCTTTTGAACTTTATTTTAGTAACGTAAGGTCCAGGGCTGCCTGAGTTTCTGCTAAGTTGGTTAAAGGCCGATTTACTGACAACAAGGTCAAGTAAAAGCATTGATTAACGTATTCTTCCTAAAAATAGGCAACCTAAGATTATATATTAGATTTCATATACCAGATTTCGGTCTTCAAAACCGTCATATGCTGCCTTGTGATCATACCTCTTCATTTCCTTATAATTTTCGTCCGATCGAAGTCGAAACAAGAAACCGTGAAGTGCAAATTTGACTACGACAAGTTGTAGAAACAGGACAGAAAGTGTACTTAACAACAATTTATTCTTAAATTTCATCTCAACCTCTGGAAAAAATTAAATGGTTGGACGATAAACCTGGTATATGAAACAAACGACTATCTGATAATTTCAAGGCCTACATAAGAAATTCTGTTTTTTTTTTAAAATAGCTTATGTTTGGAAATGTCAATGTCATTTTTGGGATCATAATTTGAAACTCTATGCACTTATGCATAAATCCAATATAGAGAAGAAGAGATGAAACGTTATATTGAAATTCTAATCATGCGATCTTGTAGAGAAGAAAAAGTGACAATGTTAATGTGCAATTCATTTTGAAATCCCTCTACAAATAAATACAGGAAGTAATTAAAACGATTTTGGGAAAATCCGTCTCTTCCGTCTCTCAAGAACTTTAATTCCGAAAACATCTAAGCGGCATTTTGTTAATTATTTAAATACGCAATTTTGCCCCCGTTGAAGCGACTTCAAATTACTTACAGTTTCTGAAATCCCAGTGGTGGGGGTCGTATTTGAAGGACGTTTTTTCTTTTTCTTTTAAAAATTGGGGAATTAGCGGCTAATCTTGTTGTACTTTGTTTAAAAGTATTGTTTGAAATAGAGAAAAAATGGCGTTTAATCTTTTTTTAAATTATTCAATTTAGTTCTTCTATTCTGCAAGCTTTGTGTCTCCTTATTCTCGCGAAATTCAAACTGCTTTCTTCCATGTCGTAAGGGATTTGTTACCTTTTGAGCATGTATTTTTAAAAATGGATTTTTTTTTTGAAAAATTCGAAACCGATCCATCCACCTGTCTACATTTTTGTTGTTTTTCGTTTATCCTAGATCGATCTTGAAAGATGAAACTGTTCTACTTCCTTTTCGTCGTTATAATGGCGGTCCTTGGATTCCAAACCGCAGAAGCTTGTATTCCGAATGGTGGAAAATGCCAGGCGAATGGTAGCGCGGGAACGTGCTGCTCAGGCTATTGTAACCAACAACCTGGATGGAAGGACGGGGACTGCAGATAAATACTCCATATTTTTTCATGTCTCACTTGATTTTCTAAGCAGTGCTTCAATAAACAATGATACCAAATTAAATTGAGAATTTTTTAGTTTTCGGCTATTTCAAAAACTCAGAAAATGACCTTCTAATGCTGAGGTAATAATCTAATGCTGCTCAAGTTTCTTATGATCAGTCTTTTAAACATTTTATTACGAACGAAGCCATGGTTTTTCAACTGTTTCAGCTTGCGAGCCATATATTCCAAAGCCGGAACGTTTTATCGTCCCTCAAGTTTCATACGAACAATTTTGAAAATATTTCTATGATGGATATTGGACTGATACGAGAAAGGGCGCATGTAAATGTTCAAATATGTCATGTCTAACTTGCTTTACTGACCAGTGGAGACACTGACGCAGTATTTCTCACGCATTAAGGCGGCTCCGACGCAGTGAGTTTCAAGCCATTTACAAGGGTTAAGCAGCTTTGAAACTGACACCCCATTTTCCAATATTTTTGAATGAAATTCGGACAGTATGTTCAGAAGATAATTCCGCAGGTTGCTATAGGAGCACTTTTTGAAATTTTGTTTTTGCACAGGTTTTATGATGGGTCGAAGTGGGCACTTTTTCTGTTCAACTTCGCGACTTTTTTAAAACGAACCTAGTGAAAAAATGAATAAGTGGCTCTATAGCATCCTGGGGCGTTTTGTTTTCAGCACTCTGTGAGAATTTCATTCAAAAATATTAAAGAATAAAGTGTCAATTTCGAAGCGCGCAAACTTCTACAAATCGTATTTTGGACGAATTTTGTCTACTGTTTCGTGCTGCCAACCCAAGCGTAGAGCAAGGGGCACTGGACGCCGCCGTAGAACAACAGACCGTGAAGATCGCCGCCTAAGATTATTGGCCTTAAGGGACCGTTTCTCCACTACCAGGTCCATTGCAAATGAATGGTTAGCAGAACACGGAAGACCTATTGGCATGCGAAGTGTTTACCGACGAATGAGAAGTTTTGGCTTGTTTTCATACCGGCCACACTGGGTCCTCCCTTTAACTCGAGAACACCGACGTAATCGCCTTGAGTGGTGCAGACAACGGTCACTCTGGGATCAGGAATGGAACAGTATTGTCTTTAGTGACGAATCTCGATTTTGTTTAGGCTTGCACGATGGTCGTGCCAGGGTTAGAAGGCGACGTGGTGAAAGGAGGAATCCACAGTTTTTTGTTGAAAGACATGTTCATCACACTGTTGGAGTTATGGTTTGGGGTGCTATAGCTTATGGTTCCAGGTCACCTTTAATCTTCATCAGAGGTAACATGAACGTGCAGCGTTATATCCACGAAGTTCTAGAACCCCATCTTTTACCCTATCTTGACACCCTGACAGATCCAACTTTCCAACAAGATAATGCCCGACCACATGTTGCAAGAGTCACAATAGACTTCTTTCAACATAATGATGTCACATTGTTACCATGGCCACCAAGATCTCCCGACTTATACCCAATTGAGCACGTGTGGGATATGATGGGTTGGAGATTGCTCAATTTGCAACGTCCTCCTCAGACTCTAGAAGCACTTCGAGAGGAGTTGGTGGTTACCTGAAATGAGATACCACAGGAGGACATTGACCACCTGATCAGAAGCATGCCTAGGCGCGCTGGAGAATGCGTAGCACATCAGGGTGCATCCACACATTATTAAAGGTCAAAGGGCTTTAAAGCAGTGCAATCATTTTGAAATTTTTATCATTTACTTATTATGCTTCATTAAGTACTTATATCAAATTTTATTAAAACCACAACCATTTAAACTGGGTGTTCGGATTTATATGTCACTTAGTATATGTTTTAAAAGGACCTGCACAGTTCATAATTTAGAGAAATGAATGTATTTGAATTTGTCGTTTAAATATGATGTTCCTCACTTGGTTCTTAAGATCTTTGATGTTTCGAAGCTTCGTGGACAAAATTTTACTAAAATAAAACCATCTAAACTGGGTGTTCGGATTTATATGTCACTTAGTATAATATCGCATAGATAAGTCGTTCTGCAAATAGGTACTCGTAATCGCGATCGCTGGTACTCCTCGATTTTAAAGCCGTTTCACTTCACACGCCAGTGGCGAGGAAGTATTGTGATCCCGAAAAATTTCTAAAATGAGATAAGTCATATGACATCTACATCACGAAAAACTATATCACTCATCATCAACTTGGAAATTACCGTTCGGATTTTTACGAAATTTTCACGCGGGGTTACTAGTATGCCAAAGCTTTGTAGTTTTAGTCCCATGGCAAGGGTGCTAAAAAATTGTACTGCTTAAAAAGTGGAGGTTGGGACCAGGTGATTTTGAATGTTGCATCTTTGATATCAGCGAAACACGTTCTATTATTAAGAAGCTTCTGCTCCCAGTGATTACAGGAAATTTAAGTAAGGAAAATCCGACGAATTTGAATTTCATGACCCGCGAAATGTACCCATTTCGTCGTTAACTTCAATTTGCGTTCTGCAGTTTGTGATGTTTTTCTGGATATAAGCAGGACGTAATCGCATGAGGTGCTACCAGAGCTTTTTACAAATTGTTGTCTTTGTGCAAGAATTATGGTGGGTTTTAAAGTAGCGTCGACGACGGTCTAGGGCCAGCCCACCCTCGTTTCCTGTTCACCCCCCGCTACCTCAGCAGATGTGTTCGTGATCGTAGGAGCCCCGTTAAGACATCCGCGCCACTTTTGGGGATACAATTTCTCCCAAACGCCGGTCGAACAATCATACGTAATACGCCTGGTAGCAACAAAATCGGATTGTACGTGGATCGCATCCAAGTACGACCGAAATTGTAGATTTATTAGTTTTCCTGCTAAATATTTTAAAAACTCAAAAAATGACGAGGCAACAATTTGATGCTTCATACCATCAGTTTTTCACACATTTTAATACGAAGAAAGCCAAACTAGAAGCAGTTTTGAAAGTAGCTGTTACTTTTGTTTTGCGACCGTTTGGGCCATTCCAGATTTTAACAGAACTGTGACATCTATGGAAACTCCCTTTTTTAACTTTTAGATTATCCATGAAGTTTTTAGTAACATTTGTATAATAAAGTTTATACCTATCTACAATCATTGTGAGGCTATTTGAGTTTGCAATAAAATTCGACTAACTTAACTGATAATAATGGAATGCGCGGCAAACAATAATAATCATGGATAGCAGCAAGAACATTTAGCATCAGTCAGAGTCATCGTATGCGACAGAAAAACTGTATCTTTAGATTTATGTTTATTGTACGCCTGCCTCTACTGTGGTAGTTCTAGAAACTAGTTTGCGTATTGTTGGTTTTTTAGTTTTTTTTTTTGTTTAGATAGGTAAAAATTCCACAGACACTGTCGCTAACACATTACATGCGACTATGACATTATACGTTTTCTAATATTCCCAAATAATGTAGGAGACGCTTCAAAATTTGAAATCTAAATTCTGCAATTTATTTTATTTCTTCGTAGGTGAAATTCACAACATGAAACTGTTCTACTTCCTTTTCGTCGTTATAATGGCAGTCCTTGGATTCCAAACCGCAGAAGCCTGCATTCCGAATGGTGGCAAATGCCAGGCGAATGGTAGCGCAGGAAACTGTTGTTCTGGATTCTGCTACCAACAACCCAACTGGAAGGATGGTGACTGCAGATAGACCAACTACGAGATTGTTCAGTATTTTACAGTTTTTTCAATGTGAAATAAATGATGTTACATAAATAATGGTTTTCCTTCGTTTTTGACAAAAATAATTTGTAACTAGCAATTAGGGCCAAGGGCCCATTACGAGCCTCTTTCCACTTCAGTTGGCCCAACTATTGAAATCTTATCAGTTAATATTAAGCCACGATATGTGAAAGAAGGTAATATAACAAATGCCGACCGAAAAGCATTTAGAAGAATAATCGTGAAAAACAGGCGTGCCAATTATTTACAATTAATTGCTCTGTAGAGTGACGCCGTTAGAGGGAGAATTTCTCATAGAGAGGCCCACAAACCGGGATTTAGCACTTGCAAGGTAAGTTTTCTTATAAAAAAAAGTGAAGTAAAAACCCTAAATTTGCACAATTTGTTTATAGTAATAATAACAATAATAATAAAAATAATAATAATAATAATAATAATAATAAATGGGCTTTATTTCGTACCTAAGTAAAAGTACAAAAAAGGCGAAGTGTCGCTAAGATTAGCGTTTTTCAACTTAACCTTAACCTTAACAAAAACAAATATATATAATAATATTTTTTTATTCACTCAATGTACAAAGATAACAAACAATATGAGTAAATAAATATAAAATCAAAACAGGCCCAATAGAAGGCATCGTCTGTACATGGACCAATAAATTTGAGTTGAAACTGTAGAATGCAAATGACAAAAAAGGACAAAAATTAGCTACAGTAGATTATGTATTTAGTTGATGTTCGTATTTATGAGTTTATGAATTTCAGTCCTAGATATAGAATGTAGCCACTTTTTTAAATTTCTTTTGAAACAATTTTCGAAACGTAAATCTTTTAAGTCTTTAGGTATAATTTCATAAAATTTAGGCGCTAAATAGAGATATGATCGCTGCATTATAGATTTATGCGGTTGAGGAACTACTGTGCCACGAATTACGTACCTGGTATAATGATTATGTTTAATTTTTTGGTCGGTGTTTACAAATTTATGGTAGTGAGTGATACTGTGTAAGAAATAAAGCTGTCTTATATCATACATTCGAACATCTGCGTATAATTTTTCAGTGGGATAAAGTTTCGGTTTTTTAAATATCATTTTTAGAATACTTTTTTGAAAAACATCTAAATTAAGATATGTGAGGAACATGCAGCTCCCCATGCTAATATACCATATGTGAGATGAGGCTCAATCAGTGCATGGTATAATGTTCGAAGCTATTTTTCTGTCAATATATTCCCAAGGTATTTAATTTTGTAGGATACGAATCTAACTTTCTTTAAAATACAATTGACATGGATGTCCCATCGTAAGTGAGGATCCAAGACCCCTCCAAGGTATTTTATGTTGGGCACTCTATTAATTTGCATTTTTTGATCATTAATATTGAAGAAGAAATTTGTGTAATTTGGCAGATGTCTAGCATAAGATCCAAATGGTAAAAAATGTGTTTTAGAGTAGTTAATGCTTAATTTTCTACTGTTAAACCACCGAATAATTTTGATAAAATCATTTTCAATTACATTTTTCAGATCAGACCAGTCAGTGCCTTCATATAATATTGCAGTATCATCTGCAAAACTAGTTATTTTGCCAACACAATTAATTTGGAAAATATCATTTAAATATATATTGAATAACAGCGGACCTAAGACAGTTCCTTGTGGGACACCACACTTAATATACATTTCTTTACTAAATGATCCTGATATCTGCACAGATTGTGGGCGATTTGACAAATAACTTTCGATCAGTGAGTACGCGTTTCCTCTGAAACCAATTCTCTCCAATGCTTCTAATAATAATTTGTGATTAACTGTGTCGAAACCTTTCTTTAAATCAACAAATATGCAGATTGAAGGGATTCTGTTATCAATATTTTGATGTATTTGATTTACAATTTTAGTTATTGCGTCCGATGTAGCCTTCCCTTCTGTAAATCCATATTGATTTTCACTTAAAATTTTGAATTTTGTGAGGTATCGAGTCATTCTAGTAGATAAAACTTTTTCAAAAACCTTTGCTACACTGGATATTATTGATATTGGTCTATAGTTGTTAACATCTGTTTTTGTTCCTGATTTATGTATCGGTATTATATTACCTTTTTTTAAAATTGAGGGATATATGCCAGATTCAAAGCATTTGTTGATTAGGTAAGTGAGTGGTTCTGTTATGTCCTCGGCTATAATTTTCAAATGCTCGCTTTTAATACCATCGAACCCAGGACTTTTCCGATTTTTTAAGGACATAACAGTGGTGTATACTTCACATTGCTCGACTTTATCCAAAATAAATGAGTTCAAAGTTCTTTTTGGAGGCTGAGTATTTTGTACATTTGCTTGTATATTACTTGCTAAATTTTCGCCTATGTCAGTAAAGAATTCTACAAATTCATCACATATCTGTTGAGTATTTTTTAATACTGTTCCCGATGTTGTATTTAACTCAGTGACACACTCTTTAACTTTTGTTTTCCCAGTAATCTCATCAATAGTTGTCCAAAGCCGCTTAGGATCATTTAAGTTATTATTCAATTTATTTAGGTAATGTTTTCGTTTGGTTTGCCTTATATATATAAATATATATAATAAAACATTCTACCAACAAAAATCTATCCATAATTCTCAATAATTACTAAATAATTAACAACACAGAACAATTACAAGAATAGTCCATATTTCTAGCATTTTGTACTCATCATGATGCACTACATAACGAATTTACGTGTTTTTTGTATTTTAGTTCTGTGTCAATCCAGAGTCCCAGGTTTTTACACTCATTCATTATAGGAAGCCGGCAATCATAGATTTTAAGGTTAATTTCCGTTTCGATCAATGTTCTTTTGTTTTTTGAGCCGAAAACCGTAACTGAAGATTTAGATGGATTAATTTTTAGGTTATGCGAGCACGAGATGTCTACTAGCCTTGTTAAGTCTTCGTTGAGCAAAGCTTCTGCAATTTTAAAATCTTTGTATTGGAAACTAAAATAAATTTGAGTATCATCAGCATAGTGATGGATTGTGCAATTATGGACATATTGATGGAAATCCGATATATATATATATATAGAGAGAAAAGTAAAGGTCCCAGTATGGAACCTTGAGGAACACCAAAACTTATAGCAGTTGACTGTGACATTTTCGAAGCTGTTAAGACCTTTTGATTTCTATTTGACACAATAGCAGCTTATCAAATTGACTGCAGCATCAGTAAAACCATAGTAAGACAGCTTAAGCAGCAGAATTTCCGGATCTATCATATCGAAAGCTTTTGTGTAATCCAACAGAACTAAACAAGTGATATTTCCTTGGTCAAGGCCTCTTATAACGTCATCAGTGACATTGGCTAGAACAGTTGTCGTACTATGGTTTTCCCTGAATCCAGACTGCATTGATGGAACTATTTCATTACTGAAAATATACTAAGATATTTGTATCTTCATTTCCCGTTCCAAAAGCTTCGAAAGCGAGTAAGCTGACTGGTCTAAGTTGCGTTACAGACGTGGGAATCGCTACTTTAGGAATAGGTATGACGATAGCCTGCTTCCAAGTACCAGGGAAACAGGATGTTGATATTGCGTGATTGATGATAAATGTAATATGGTTTAAGAGCAAAGTGAAAATGTATTTTATCATAATGAGTGAGATTCCATCAGCCCCTACAGAATTAGTTTTAATAAATGAGAAACTCTTCGCAACAGATTCTTTGGCGACCTTTTGGAAACAGAATGACTTGGGAAACTTATTTGTTCAGTAGTTCTAACTGCTTTTGTGTCTTGGTTATGATCGAAATATTTGAGAAATGTGAATTTATTTCATCTGCGTCATTGAAGCTATCTGGAAGGGTATTTATAGAGGACTTAATTATATTAAGTTTCCTAAGAGATCTCCATATTGCTTTACTCTTCCTCCCAGTGGGCAGTTGACTTACTTCTTTTAAACCTTAGATACGCTTTATCTCTAGCTTTATTGATCATTTTAATATTGTATGTTAGCCAAGGAGCTGGTGGCTTAGTAACTCTAAGTGTTCTCATAGGTGCGCAATTATCAAATAAATTTAGTATGTTGCTATTAAAAAAATTTACCATATAAGCCACTATTAACTCCACTGCAAAAGAAAAAGTGAAAATTCCAGCATCCATTATGGTCTGGGGCAGTATGTCATCAAAAGGAGTAGGAAAACTTCATTTTATTGATGGAAATGCGGATACAAACAAATATTTGGCAATTTTAGAAGAATCGCTTTTACCAGTGATGGAAGAATGTTTGACTTCCGGCCAAGATTTTGTGTTTCAGCAAGATGGTGCAGCGTGCCATACCTCAAAAAAGGCTATAAAATGGATAGAAAAAAATAATGTACCACTTTTGAAATGGGTTTGTAGCAGTCCAGATCTGTCACCTATTGAAACTTTGTGGAATGAGATGAAAAAGGTTCTACGACAACATCCTGCTCGTACAATCACCGAACTGAGACAGAAGCTTCAAGAAATATGAGATTGTTTTACATGAAATTTTTACCAAAACTTGACTAACACTATGCCCCAAAAAATTTCAGCCGTAATAAAAAATAAGGGTGATGTTACCCAATGGTAATCTTTCATTATCGCTTTCAAATATGTATTTTTTACGACTAGAGTGTACCTTAAATGTTTTTGAGAAAATAAATTGTTTTAGAAGGAAATAGTTTCGTCATGTTTAAAGGCATATTTTGGTACCAATCTTGAAGTGGGCCAACTGAAGTGGGAAGGGGCTCGTAGTCTATTGGTTTTCGTGGAATTACCGAAAAACTAACATAAGGTTCGTGATCGACGCATCCTATTTACTCAAAAAGCGTTTTTTAACCAAGATTACAGGTAGATAAAAATTTTTTGAAATTTACTTCAGCGAGCATTGGAACTCTGCTGCTCCTCGATAGAAAATTCATATTTTCGTCTGCTGTATCTATATGCTAATAGAACTAGGTATTTTAAGAAATTTGTAAGGCTAATTTGGAATACGGTTATCAAAAGATTTTAAAATGTCTCTATGTCTGACTTCCATGTTTTTATGACAAGAGATATACCTAAAATTTGGATAGAAATTAAACAGGGAAAATTTGACCGCCTAAACTCTATTTTACAAGTATCCATCAAGTTTTGTTGTTCACTGATTTGGTTAACAGATGATCAGCAAGTGAACTGAAGATCTTTGTATTAGTCTGTAATGGTGGCAATAATGGATCGGGTATAAATCTAGTAAAACTTGTTTCTAGCGTTTTTTTTTGTTTGAAAATGAACTTTTCTAAATAAAAGAGTTGTTAGCAAGTACAACACTTAACCTGTAGCGTACGAAAAACCAAAATAAAATTGCGCTATCCATCAGAATTGTGTGTTATTTGTCGATATGGAGAATGTTGAACTATTGCTAGATAATCAGCTGTTATTCTGCCGAAATGGATACGCGTGAAAAAGACAATAAGCTAGATGGTCTGACCTAAAATGTCAACTCGACAGCATGACATTTTCACTAGCTGATTTAGTGACCGCTGTCTATCTAGTTCTTCGTAAATCAAAAACTGCGGATATGGGAAATTCATAATTCGCTTGAATATAATACTTTGTAATAATTTTGTAATAATCGGCACGATACTGGAAAATTTGTTTCTATATTAACAGAAGCAAATCATAACCAACTAACACTTGAACCTTGTATCACTTTTGAAATTGACTCCAAGCTGGCTCAAATAATGGTTCACCTCTCAAATTCCTTGACGTTCGATAGAAAAAATGTCTAAGCAAAACTTTTTATATCTGCAAATATAATAAATAATTTTGCATCGGGAGTATATTTGCATTGTAAAATCTGTCTGGAGATATTGCTTTGTTTAAATAATTGTAATCCACCTATCCGCCGTGTAAATCAACAGTCATTCTTACAAATTTAATATAAATTGAAATCGGGCTCGCTGTGTGGCACAACCCAAACGATCTTCAGTCTTGTAGCATCAGGTGAACATCAGGTAAGACAGAATTTTATATCTATTATTTGTCGACACATTTAAACCACACTAGTTTTACTTCCTACACCTATTGTGATCGCAAACATTTTGTAAAATGAGATATAACGTTTTTCGATATTCATCACGAAAAGCCATGTCACTGTTTGTTGCTCTGTTCGCTGATCAAATAACTTGATAAGCAACGCTTGGATTTCGATAGAATTTTTAGACAATGTTACTACTATCCCAAGGACGCCAAAGTTTTTGAAAACCGGTTTAGTGGCGGTGGAGAAAAAGGCCAAAAACAGAAAAAGTCAAAATCGCCCACACATCCTGAGGAAACGGGTTACACCCGTATCCGAATGTGTCGGCATGTGTATCTACTTTTGTAGTCTCATATGTGCATTCATTTCGGGCCTGATGAAGCCAACCAGCAGAAAAACGTATCGCTCGGGTTACCTATCCTATTTTCTGCTCGAATCCACTTTCCTCCTTTTTGCGGATTTTGCCCACTATTTTCCTACTTGTTGTTATATACATTTCTCCGCATGATCATATTCTCTCTCTATATATATATATATATGTATATAAACAAGACAACTTAAGTCTGTCGATCGCGAAGGCCATGGAAATAGACTTCGTCTTCCAATCCATCGCGTCAAGAAACACATCGCCATTTAGAGATTGCTCGACAAAATATGGCCCAATAATTTTGCATCTCAATATGCCACACCACACATTTAAACCCCAACGCCCTTGGTGCCGAACTACTCGCAACCGATGCGGATTTTCTGCAGACCAATAATGCATATTGTGCAGATTGATTTTCGCGTCACTATTAAAGGTGGCTTCATCGATCCAAAGAACTTGACATAAAAATTCTCTGTTTTCGCGTAACACACCAAACATAGGCAACAGTCCAACCTCTGATCAAGGTCTTCCTCTTTCAAGCCTGACGCCAATCGGCATGATATGGGTGCATTATAAAAGTAATTTCAAATAAATCCCTATATTTTGATGGCCATTAGGACTTCGTATGGTCCTTCAAAATACTTTGTTGTTAGTGATATGCCCAACTTAAGGGATAATGCTCTTGTGCTAGCATGAGGATTTCCTTCAATATATCCCAGTACGCGGTTAATATTTTCTTGTGTTCTCGCAAGCCTTTGCCGTTAAAACGCCAAAAAACTACCATTGGCTCGTAAAATCGCCACTAATCGGAGAAAAACTCTCACATTGCAAAAACGCTACTGCGGCATTCAAAATAAACTGCAAGCATATCAATAGCCTCATCGTTCATAAAACGGATTTGGTAAGCATAAACATTGCTCAAAGTAATTCGATTTGAGGACTATTTATGTTTCGATTAGGTATTTGTGGCCATCTTCTATTGCCTTGTTCGTATATTATCTTGTTGGAAAGTTGGATCTCCCAGGGTGTCAAGATAGGATAAAAGATGGGGTTCTAGAACTTCGTGGATGTAACGCTGCGCGTTCATGTTACCTCTGATGAAGATCAAAGGTGACCTGGAACCGTAAGCTATAGCACCCCAAACCATAACTCCAACAGTGTGATGAACATGTCTTTCGACAAAAAACTGTGGATTCCTCCTTTCACCACGTCGCCTTCTAACCCTGGCACGACCATCGTGCATGCCTAAGCAAAATCGAGACTCGTCACTAAAGACAATACTGTTCCATTCCTGATCCCAGAGTGACCGTTGTCTGCACCACTCAAGGCGATTACGTCGGTGTTCTCGAGTTAAAGAGAGGACCCAGTGTGGCCGGTATGAAAACAAGCCAAAACTTCTCATTCGTCGGTAAATACTCGAGGACTATTTATGTTTCGATTAGGTATTTGTGGCCATCTTATACCCATAGTGAAGATGTACTCAAACAAAAAATATGCCTTCAGTTATTAGCATTACCTACTTATCTAAGGGTTTTTAAATTTGTCTAGCAAATAACTATTATTTCTTTGTAGATACAAATAACATGAAACTGTTCTACTTCCTTTTCGTGGTCATCATGGTCGTCCTGGGACTGCAGACACAAGTAGCTCAAGCTTGCATTCCAAATGGTGGAGTATGTCAAGCTAACGGCAGCGCCGGAAACTGTTGCTCCGGGAACTGCTACCAACAGGCTGGATGGGCGAATGGTAACTGCAGATAGACGGTCCAATCAACTGTACTATCAACTTCACAAAACAATTTCCTATTTTGTCTCAATGTGAAATAAATAATGTTATACGCTAACAGTTTTCTTGCTTTAACAAAAATAGTGACCAGGGACCCATATATTCCACATATTCCATGGGTTTTCGCGTATTTAAAACTAAGATTTCCTTCTCCTTTGATGTCCCAAAGATGGCGTTACTCAACTAAATTATGACGGATCCCTCGAGTTCGAAGATTTCCAGACGTAACGTCACTCCACTCTGTGTCGAGGTTAGCTTTCGGTCAGAGGCCATTGTGGCAGCAGAAACTCGGCAAGGCCGCAAAATTTGGAACGGACATGCCGACTGGGAAAAGCTCTTCACCTTTCCTTGCTGACGCGCATGCGTCGGCTTTCTGTTCGTCGATAACGGACGTTATCCACGTTGGGATGGACGAGTACATCCCTCGTGCAGTGGAAGTGCCTAAACCAGGGTCCAACGGCTGGTTGAACAAGTCGTTCGACACTACTCATCAGCAGAAGACTTTTGAAAAAGAATAAGTATCACCCATACAAAATTCAAATGGTGCATCAGCTAACTGAAGATGACCTTGACCATCCTACCTATATCCAAAGTATTTATTTTAGCGATGAATGTACGTTTTTTCTCAACGGGAATGTTCATAGACAAAATTGGCGTTATGGGAGTGACACCAATCCTCACGTCTTCCGGGAAGCTCATACTCAATATCCACAAAAAATTAACGTTTGGGCTGCGATATTGGGAAATCATATTGTGGGGCCTCTATTCAGCGAACAAGCTTCAACCGGGGAACTGTATTTGGATATGCTGGAAAATACTATTGACCCTCTAATCACCGAAATCACCGAAGCGCATCCTAATGAATTCGATACTGCGTTTCCCTAATATTACAAGGTCGCATGTTGCAGTGTTCTTATTTTGAGATAAATCGATTTTAAAAAATTGCATCAGTTTTAAGCTTTAATTTAAATATATGAATGGTTTTAATTCACAAGTGGTGTTCATAGTGGACAATTAAAGAGTTCTTAGTGTAATTTTTTTCCAATAAATAAAACAGTAATGAAAAATTTACTTATTTAAAAGACCATGGAACTAAAGTCAATAATTTTCCTTAGCTACGTAACATAGAACTTTGGCTCTTAAAATGATACTTCATGTTAAACTTTATTTGTTCCTAAAAATAGACTCGTATTATTGTCTATCCATCTCAGAAATCCACTTGTACATCGGGCTTATAGCATCCACTTTTTTTGGAGGCAGTTCAACACTGTTGTCACATTTTTTAAGTTCCAAGGGTATCGTCTTACCAGTTTCAGCTGTAATGTGTTGTGTTCTTCGTAATTTTCGCTGGTGCAGACGCGGGTTAGAACCGTCTTCATCTTAAAGGAATCTTTATATACTAAGTGACATATAAATCCGAACACCCAGTTTAAATCGTACGAAATCATACAGGTCTCCGTACTCTAGGCATCGTAACCGATCGTAAAGGATGTCAAGAACCAAAATCCGCCAACGTTGATTCTTTACTGCGGCTGAAATATTCATTTTTAGAGCGTTAGTGAATTAAAATAAAGCGGTATAAAAACCGGAATGTCCAAGTGATAAGGCTGAAAATTTCTTCACTTGTTATTTACAGTAAGATAAATACATTCACCAACTTTTAAACCATTTAAACTGGGTGTTCGGATTTATATGTCACTTAGTATATTAATTCAACCACATCTGATTACTATGTTTCTACTAGCGGAGTACCATGGAGGTTCAATTTGGGTCTGCTGCTATTTTTGTTATACAGGGTGGCGCAACGAAAAGGTCGCACTCCCATTTGTGACTCTCCTGGTATATTTTGAGAAAAACCTTCGGACACGTCCATTTTGATTTCTAGATAATATATTGCGATACACTTTGGATTTTCAATATGCATTTAAACAAAGAAAAGGTGATTTTACACTGATGAATAAAAAAGAATTTCAGGAAAATTAGTTTAAAAAATAAAATTTTCTTTGTCCTAAATTTTAGGTTGGGAACGAGAAATCGAGATGCGGTTTTCTAGAGCCTGTTTAGACATCGTTTAGCTACGTTTTAATGTAAAAATCATACCAATGCATTTAGTTTTTTATGAGAAAATTAGCTATTTCTGTCGGAATATCAAAAAAAGAACAGCGGCCACATGTGAAACTAACGAAACTTCAAATATTAGAACGTTTGTATCGCAAGAATAGCTCTGTTCAAGTTTGTTAAAATCGGCTCAGTCGTGTCGACGATACAGGGTATTTTTTACGGAAACCTTTGAATATGTCCACCACTTTATTTTTAGAGATACAGCAAAATTATCAGACAAAAAAGTTCACATTATCCTCGACATTAAGAAACAGGTATTTTTTGTTAGGTTAACAGCACGGGATTCACAGAAACATAACTTTTTAGATGCAAGATTGCAGTTACGGCGGCCATTTCAGAAACTTCAAAATATTTTCCAGGTTCTTCTCTTGGCCGTGTATAAATATCGGGAACCACATTCTGACGATGTCAATCTACATTAAAGAAATACCGGAATATTACATAAAGATTAGCGCTTATGATAGATTTATCTCCGATGTATAACGCATACGTAAAGGTAATAATAAAATATACAAGATCGTACCTACTCATCCGAAATCACTTACCTTATGTTGATCCGAGAATTATAAAGCTGTCAACCTAAAGTGCCGCAACACTCACTTTCCTTTTTACCTTCCGTACTTAAACAACGGAAGTAATCTGGTCGCGGAAGTTCTGATAACAACTTTTTATGCAAAACAAGCGAAACATAACATTGAGGAAGGCGTAGAGATTAGCAACAATCTATTTGAACTGTAGAGTATCTCAGCTCGCGTCGTCAATCATTGACGTAGGCCTTGGCTCTTTGCTGTTCTTGCTTTATACGAGTATAAACGAACTCCAAATTTTTTCAGTAAGCTTGTTATTTATGCTGATAACAACACTCTAGACCTACGATTCATCTACGAACATCAACAGCGAGACATCATCCAGTACATCTGGCATTCAGGATTAGTTTATACCTAGCAAATTAACGTTAAATTTAAACAAATATCAATCCGCGATAATCACACTTCGAAATATTGGTCAGAATGATGATCTCGCAAACATAGTGAAATTTCTTGGTGTGCATATCGACTCCTCTTTGATTTGGGATGAAGATATGAGTCATGTTACCAAATCCTTAACAAGAATAATTTATGCAGTTCGCAATTCAAAACAGTTTCAATAAACATCCTGTTGATCAGGTACCATGGGTACTTCCATAGCAAAATGTCATACGCCCTTCTGCCACGGGGCGACTCTCCGAACATGTACAAAGTATTTGTCCTAAAGAGAAAATGTATTCGATATACAGGGTGTTTCAGTTTATTGTTGCATAACTTTAAGATCCGATAGAACTTTTAAAATTAATGCATAAAGTCTATATAAACATGGGTCGAAAAATGCGTGGCTTCCGCAATACAGGGTGTTTAAATTTACTTTCTAAAATAGTTTTTTTTAAATACTTCGAACAATATTTGATGTATAACAGTGGAAATTGGTATACAAGGGTTTTTTGGTACGACAAAACGAACCATGGGCCGCTAGAGGGCGCTCTCTACTGTACCTGTAGTGTATTAAAATGACCGGAAATTTTTTCTTAGTGCAATTTTTTGTTTTTTCAATGAAAAAACTAATTCTTCGCACTTTTCAACATAAAAAAGCTCTCTTCTGAATTTTTGTTATAGTTAGCCGTTTTTGAGATATTTCGATGTTTAAGGTTCGATGCATTTTTAATTATTTATGATAAAATAACGTTAAAAAGTCAGTATCTCGATAATTTTTAGAAGTAGGCTGTGCCTGCAAATATTTTTGAAATTGAAAGCAGAATAAGGTTAAACGTCAATTAGTTGACAGTCAGTTTTGTTGTCTGTTGAAACCTGAAACGTTTTTTTGCAATTGTGAATGCACGTAATTTAGTTTCTTTTACCTGTTTTTAGAAAGTAAATTCAAACACCCTGTATTTCGGAGACTTTATGCATTAATTTTAAAAGTTCAATCGAATCTTAAAGTTGTGCAACAATAAACTGAAACACCCTGTATAGCAAATCTAAAATATAGAAATGCAGAGCTGAGTTTATCAAATAGTCTAATCATATTAGATGAAATTATTATAAAGTCTAGTTTTATTGCTGCAAGTTGTCCAAGGAAGCATTCAAAACATGGACGCATAAAATGGGTACACCAATTTTTGTGGGAAAACTTTTTATTCGACAAAGAACGAGAAAATATGTTTTTTGGGATTCAATCGAAAGTTTTGGCACTACCGAAAAAACTTTTCATACAAGATTTTTATGTATTTATGAGACCAGCAAAATGAGACCACACGTAAAAAGATCCAGCTAATAGCAAAAATGTTATGGACGAAAAACGAGGCAAAATGGAGGTTTTGGCACTTGGTAGTAATGCGACGATGGTTTCTCGCAGATATTTGAAATTATTCAAATTCGTAGGATTCGTACTTCTAAATAACCACAACAAAATTGAAGTAAACTTTACAAGTAGATTTTGAGAATCTCTAATTGTTTATCCCAAAACACCATCACTACTAGTTTATTGGGCAATATACAGGGTTAACTCAAAGAGCATCTGGTAGCAAAATGCATTAGTTTACCTTGACGATAAAAATCGCAAACCATTCCGAAAGATAAATATCATTTTTAAGCAAAAAAAGGATGGGTTACGATTTTTCTTTTGAACAAATTCAAACACTTCGTATTTGTGAGCAATTTGCAACAACAGATGATAGACACATCCGCTTTATTTTAAAATGTGTACAGTAACGTATGCTTTTCAAATATCGTTGCGCATTTGTTCAATTACTCACAAATACGAAATGTTCGAATTTGTTTAGAAGAAAAAAATGCAACCTTCGTTTTTCGCATAAAAATAAGATTTCTCTTTCGGAATGGTTTGTGATTCATATCGGCAAGTTAAACACGTGTATTTTGCTATTAAATGCTCTTTGAATGAACC